GCTGAGATAAAAATAAATCCTATTGCGGCTCCATGCCCTTGGTTGACAATATGCACCCTGTAACCTGTGCTCTTTTGACTTTTCAGAAAATGCTTTATTTGAATGTACTACTGAACTATGCTGTTCAACTTTTTTAGCATATTAGCAGCTTGTATCTTGATTAAGTTAAGTGCTTGCGTCTTAAAATGACTCTCCTCACATGCGCATTAAACAGCAAACAATCTTGGTTAACATCTGTAGTTGTTTAAAATGAGATCATTTTAAATGATTTTCATATCGGCCTGTAAGTAAAGACTGTGGCAGTATGAATAAGTTTGGTTTCTAAAAATAAATATATCATTAGAATGGTTAAAAACAAAAATAAAAATAAGGAAAAGAGTGTAACAGTAATTGGGGATATATTATTGTTGCTGCATTTGCTATATTTACTATTTGGTTTGCCTTAGTAGCTGGCTGGCTCGTTAATAGGCAATCTACAGTAAGTTTAAGTGGTTATCTCCTGAAAGCTTAGTCCTGTGGAAAGACGATTGTGACAAGATATGGACTGTGTTCATTTCATTTTCAACAGCACTAAGCTTCACCTTATGGAAATGCTGTCAGGGGTTCTCTATTTGGAAACTGGTGCAAATCATTTTTCACCTGTCAGAGGTGATATCTGGTGTTTCATATTCTAGCATGCTACACTAGAAATAACTTTTCTTTTTGAAGGAGGAAACAGTAAAAAATTTGTTTACAGTGCATTAGGAATCTTAAAATGTCAAAAACATTCTCATACCAAATCCATCTTAGTTTGTTTTTATGGTACTTACCTGTACAGAAATTACTTCCTTTATTCTTTAGAAAATGATACATGTTTCGTAGAAAAGATGAGTTCAGTAACAACCATGCATTGTGCATTGTGCTTCTCCTCTCATGGCATGCAGTTTGTGAATTTTGAGTGTGAATGTGTATATGCACAGTATATACACTAGATGCCATATGTATAGGTGTGTGTGGTTGTACCAAATCTTTAATGTCCTTTCCTGTCCTTTCCATGCTCATTTCATACAGTAAGTTGCTTTGCATTCCTGAGTTTGTCATAAAAAGTGGTCCAGTAAGCTACAAAGTACACTAAAATATATTGTCTAAGATCATTCAAAGTTTTTTACTGTCCAAATTGCTAGATTAGCAGATGAAATCTTAGCACATTTAACAGAATAATTTGCAACTAAAAAAGTGACAAGAATATAGGAGTTTATTTGCTCTGCTGATAGTGGCACAAAGAGTACTGTCCCTGTATTCTGCTTCTCATTCTTGTTTGCTACAGTATGTCTCCACAGCTTGAACGGAATTCTAAAGCCCGAGCTATGTTAAGATGTGTATTCTCTTGAAAACAAGAAAAAAAAGCCAGAACTACATACACATACATTTCATAGTAGGAGAAATCTGTCTCTCGATACAATTTATCCTACCTGTAATATTAAATTTTTCCTGTGCTCAAAACTCACAGTGTATGTGCTGGTAACGGCAACAAAATATCAGGTTAAGTTTTTTTGATGGTCTTTGACATTAGCCAATGCTTTTATTTTTTGTTGTAATTTATTTATATGCTTGTCCCTATTTACTATAAATAATTAGGATTTTACCCTTTACTGCAGGTACAAAGATAGGTTCAAAATACAGTTGTTAAAATCAAAGAAACTTTTCTATTTTTATTCAGAACTGGCAAAGATACAGTAAATGTAGTATACTGTAATAATCTTACTTGTATATGCATACATACTATAAGTAAGACATTAATGAGGATTACCAATATCTTTGAATAGTAAATTTAATGCAAATGCTTTCTACACTATGTTTTGTTTTTAGGCAATATACTGCACAGCATCTTGCAGAAACTGGGATTTTTCATAAATTGTTTTTTTTTTGTAAGGAAGACAGAAACCCTTTTGTAGTTATTCTACGCATTAGTAGCCAAGCAAACAGACTAGTGTGTTCTTGTGGTTAACTTCAAGACATTCCTTAAGAGGAAATAACATACTGCATGTGTTAAGGGTTTCAAGGAAAACTCGCTCAAAGCAAAAATCCCCTCTCCTTTCCGTTTCAGTTGTGGTTTTTTGTGTTGTGTTTCCTTCCTGAAACCAAGCTGTGTCAGAGGATAACTCGAAACTGGTGTCCTGTGACACTGCAGCTCTGAGCTGGGTCTGTGAAACTGTTCCATTACTGTGAGGTCCTCAAAGCTTGAATTTCAAGCATGCTGACAAAAGAGAGCTATGACAAAATATTATGAATTTGTGGAGAAAAGGTCAAAAGAGCAACAGAACATTTTCGGATCATTGTGCGGAAAAACACATCTTTCCAAAATCATTCAATTTCTTCAAGGGTGAGAAGCTACTCCAGTAAAAATGCTACTGTGTGGAATACAGTGAAGCTCTACTGAGCAGAGGAAACAAGTAACAGGTTCAAATTTGGTAAATAATTCATAATTATTTATCATAATTCTGCAGCTGTCTGTGCTGTACAGTATCTTAGCTGTTCTACAGCTCAGATCAATGTGCAATGTTCTTGGAAATAAAGGGAACCTCGTGACCCCAGTTTTATTAGTGTGTAAAATCAGCACTCTCACAAAGCAAATCTGATCTGACAGTGCTCAGTTTTTAATCCTTAAAACTCAATAACAGCATCGTTTATCATAACTCACACATTTGGGTTAATGTATAAATTCAGGGTTTTTGCCGAGAGATTTTTCCTGAAATGGGGTTCACAAGCTAGGAAGTTCTGTGTCCCTTGGGTATTTGATAAAATTGTGAGAAGGGTGAATTGCAAAACATTCCCAGTTTTCAAAGCAACATAGTTAAATCTGATAGTGAGGCTGGTGAAAAATTATAACAACAATATTACGGCAAAATTGTAAAAGAATCCTTTTGATCTGTTATTTAATCCCCATTATATTCCAAAAGAAGTAAAGGCACATTTTGACTGTCACTCTGTTTTATGTGTCATTTCAATTTTTCATTTTGGAGCTTGGCGATTGAAGAATTGATGTTTTGCTACTTGACATGATTTCTTTTTGGTACAATGTGACTAAAACTAATTCTGCTGACATTAGTACTGTATCTGCAATGTGTCTTCAGGCCAGTGGGGCTGTCTGACCTCGTTGTCTTCTTTAGGATTTCACTCCCTTTTCACTTTTATTTTATTCTTTATAACTCCCTTTTTGTTTTGTTTTTTGGAGCCTGATGTTTTTTTTCCTGATTCAGAACATCTCCAACAAATAAACCCCAGTTTCCTCATATCACTTTCTTTGCCAGTTTTATGAACTTTAAGCAAAGTTGAATCTTACAAGATCAGACTTTTTCCATACTCCTGTAACTGAGTAAACACAAGCAAAAGAATATATGTAAGATAGTTTAAACAAGAAGGTCTAATCCACTTGGTAGTTTGTATTTTACTTTTTTCAAAAGATTTAAGAAAAAATATAATCCCACCAAGTCTCTATTTCCATTTCCCACTAATTACAGCATGTAGGTGCAGACAATCATGTAAGGAGGAGGCCAGACAAGTTTTCAGAACTCATCACCCCTATGATGCACTGAACCCAATTAGGAATGTGTGTGGTTAGGTAGCGCGTTGTTGATTGCAGTGTTTTGGGTTACAACAGCATTAATGTGCTGTTTAGATTACACCCCCACTTTAAATAGATATTTCAAAGGTACAAATGAGTGAATCACTCTAAAGCTTTCCCAGTCTGGAAAGCATTTTGATCTGTGTAAAAATCCAGGTGGACAGTATGAATCACCGAATGTGGCTTGAAGCTGGCCGTATTTGGGTTTGTTGCCCAAGCAGAAACCCCTCTTTCCGCATTCCTGCTCAGACAAAGTGCTGCTGAGCTGCAACCAGGCACAATTAAAGTCAAGAGGGCGGATTCAATACACATTAATCACACTACTCTCTAATTTAAGGACTCTCTTTTCAGCGACAGAGCGTTTCTCAGGAACTCGAAATCTTTTGCTTTGTGTGAACTTGATCCATCTGCTTTACACTCAGGAATGCCCCCAAAAACGTCTTTTGCACTTCTTTTGTGCAATTAAGGTGCAATCTTTTTTAAGGTTGGATGCACAATGAAACACTAGGAGGGAAAGGAACACTTTTTTGGCAGGACTACAGTTCCAGCATTCAGGATAAAGACATTGTCTTTTCGAGTTCAGTGGCAGTGGGGTGCACACAGGCTTCTGTTGAACAACAGGAGGATTTAAAGTAAAGGGTACAACTGACAGCCCTGCCCACAGGTGGTATAATGTAAGACATTTGAGCAACACTGCCGGACTGAGCATGACTGTGTGAAAAATGGCAGCCTATACAAAGTAAAACTGGAAACACTACACTTTTTCACAGATGGAGACCCTCCGGTATACAGTTTTCTTAAACTGGAGTTTAACCTGCAGGTCAGGACATGGTTGATTCTGGCATTTGAGGTGTTTGGGTCATTCACTTCTGAACTAAAAGAAAGAACTGAATTTGCAGTTGTTTTCTTTCTGCAGAAATCGCAGTGATAAAATACTGCCAAAACCCAGCTGGCCTCACAGTCTCCTGCTGCGCTGGCAGTTCAGGTTATGGCTTAATAGAGTGTTGGATAAAGAGCATTGCACACAACACCCATGGGATTCTCCACAGCTAAATTAACACTCCCAGGACTGAGTAGAGCCAGACATTGTTTTTAAAATAAATCTCTGCCACACACACTTGCAGTTGTTAACAAAACTATTTAATAATCTCCTATTAATAGCCTGTTGAAGTTGAACTTTCCTCTCAGTAATTTTGAATTTATTGTGACTTATTTTGTAGTAAACATGCGAAGCATGGAAATTCTGAGAAAGCGTGTTACTCTCCAGAAGGAAGGGATACTGTGTGGTTTTTGTGGACTTTAACCCTGATTTTACTTGACCTCACTGTATCTGCTTTGCTCTTTTTTTTATTTATTTTTCCCTTCATGTGTGTGCATATTCTTTTTTTTTCTCCAGGTTGATAATACGTGGACCACCATGTTTGGACAGACTGTCAGACTTCATCCAGTTCCTATCCAGAGCCTCTCGGAGCTCGAGAGAGCCAGACTGCAGGAAGTGGCCTTCACCCATCTGGAAGAACGAGAGCTGGAATGCAAGATTAGCATTCCCAGAGGTACCATTACCTATTTTTCACTTCATTTTGAAGAACTGGGGGCCAGCTAGAGGAAAGATGCAGCTCTTTTCCAATGTGCCATTCTGTTATTAGGTCTTTGGCTTGGGCTTCTCTAGATGGTTCTAGTCCTCAATGCAGCATGGCAGCTATCTCTCGCATCACTTGACGATGAAATAAATATCTCCCAACCTACATGATATTGTCTCTAACCCAGCATGTTGGAGCCATTCTTGTGCAGAAAGGTTCCATTTGTCCGTTTTCCAACCACTTTATCCAATTCAGGATAAGAATATCGCAGTAAGCAAAGGGCGCAAGGCAGGGTACACCCTGGGCAGGATGCCAGTCTGTCACAGGGCAGACACACAGACACAAACGATAAACACTCCATGGCCAATTTTCCCAGAAGCAAATTAACCTACCAGCATGTCGTTGGACTGTGGGAGGAAACCAGAGCACCCAGTGAAAACCTATGTGAACACGGGAAGAATATGCAAACTCCGTACAGATAGAAATTTTACTCAGGACTCCAGTGCTGTGAGACATCAATGCTAACCACTGCACCACTGTGCCACCCCACACAATCTGTTTAAAATTGGCAGCAGGAGTCATTTTGTGCTTGTGTGCTGCTGAGGAGACATCGGCATGTAACTACAGTGATTTAAAAATAACTGAAAATGTGTTTTCCTACCCAGTTTGGTCAAAAGGCCATATCTCCAATAGAAAGTGAGATATTCCAGCTTGTGTGGTTCAGTACTAATCAATGCCAACCACTGGCATTATAGGTTGGGGTGTGAAAAAATAATAAGGATAATACATTTGTATTTATATAGCACATTTCATCTCAAAGCCCTCCACATTCAAGGGACCCATGTCATCCAAACTTGAAGTTCAGCACCCACCTCTGTAATGTGTATCAGCCTTTCAGTAGCACCTCTACTGCCTAAACAAGTGTGAATGAGAAATAAGAGCATTCAGATAAATGTGGAAGCTTATTGTAAAACATTGCTGTTCTTTGGATGCATATGTTTACCAGATACTGTATATTCAATCTGACTAGTTGTGTGGCTCATGTTGGAAGCTAAACTGAAATGAGTTTAAATTCAGTAGCATGTATTAGGTCAAATATAATAAAGTACCAAGCTTTGAACTGTGTTATCAACAGGGTAACTAGACACAACAAACTTAAATTACTCATGGAAGTAATTATTACGGAATTAGAATACTTTTCTGGATATTAAGTGGAATGAGAATGAGTAATGGACTATTTATCTTCACAAAGGCAGAGATGAAAATGATACGCAGAGATTATGCAACTGGCGAAAATAGATACCTTAACAATGCCATACAGTAAATGCCAGGATGTCCTCATAAAAACATCTTTGTGCACAAGAAGTAATTTGTGTCTGGTTGCTTTGATTTGGTTGGGCTAATGAAAACCTTGCCTTACTGGAATAGAACAGAGTATCGTCTCAGCACTGGTTTATTGTAAATGTTCAAGGGCACTTCCTGTTTCTCCATAACAAAAGGCTACAGAATATATAAATACATGTTCCATGCAACAGCAAAAAAAAGAAATACTGCCGCAGTAAGAACATACAAATGTATTATTTAGTAGTTCAGTTGCTTATTCGGTAGTTCGCTTAGCCAGTACTTGAACGTACCCAGAATTTGTGCCTCAGTCACCTGGTTTGAAAAACTGCTCTGGACACCTGTAACTATTTGTATATAGAGCCTTTTCATATTGTCTGTCCTAAATGAACACCCTTTCAGTTTCCAATTGTGACCACTTACAGTATGTGAGTCTTCTAGTTGACCATGTTTACACATCTAGGGATCTCATTTACTTCAGTCAAATCTCTTTTTTTCAACTCTGAACCGATTCCATTGTCCTGTCAATATATAAAAATCTTATCACAGCCTCTTTCTTTTCCTTTTTGTGGCATATTGACCAAAACCAAAACACAATATTATAATTGAGATCTAATTCGTGTATTGAAAAGTTTAAGCATAACTTCTCTAGATTTAAATTCCACACTTTTTTGGGCTTCCACTTGTTTGCTTTTTAATTTGCTACCCCACACTGACTGGATGAGAACACAGACGAATCAACATAAGCCCACGATGGCTTTCATCTTAAGTCTCCTCTAGATCAGAATCCAAATACAGAATAGGTATTCTGCATGTTTCTACTTCTAAGATGGGTCACTTTGCACATATCGGTGTTAAATTTCATTTCTCAGGTGTCTGCCCACTCCATGAGTTTGTCTTTAGTAATTCTCTTGCTGCAATTTCTGTCTGTCACTCCTGTTAGATCATCTGCAATTGTAACTCTTCAAAGACCATTGTTTTCTTAGTATTCTCCTAAATTAGCTCTACTGTGTGGCATTGTGGCACAGTGGATAGCATTGGTGCCTCCCCCTGCTGGGTTCCTGGGTTCAATTCCAGACCTGATGTACAATCCGTGTGGAGTCTGTATGTTCTCATGTGGGTTTCCACCTGGAACTCCAGTTTCCAGCCACAGTTCACATAATGGTAGGTTGATTGGATTCTGGGAAAATTGGCCCTGGTGTGAGTGTGTGCATGTCTGTGTTTGTGTGTGTCTGCTTGGTGATGAACTGGCATCCCATCCAGGGTGTACCCTGCCCTGAATTTCAAGAAAAAGTTAGAAAATGGATGGATGGCTGTTTTAAAACATTTTCCTGTAACAGATAACAGACTGTAATAAAGGGTCTCTCAGATTAACATGGAAATCGATACTTTGTAAGCTTGAGGAGTTTCTGCACTGCCATGGTTCTACTGCGTTTTTTCAGAACTGGATGTCACAGCTTAGCCACTGCATGCCAGGCTAATTCTGAAGTGGTTTCCTGCAGATTTCTAGCCTCTGGGAAATAGTGGAACCAGACGACAATGTAAACATGAATACATGGATTTAATTAAAATCTAGTTTGCAACGGAAAACATATAAAAAATATATTATCTGGAGGAAAATGCTAAATTCTCTCGAAACGTACCTAAACATAGATACTAAGCACATCTGAGAGAACAGAAGGGCCATGTGTTTTGGATTTCTGTGTTGACTTGTGGAAGGTGCTGTGAATGTGTGCAAGCTCCAATACATTCTTCTCTTCAGGGAGATGAATTTCCTCCCAAACACTGGAGGGCTGTAGTCTAACATAACAGCACAATGCTGTTTTTCAAGACTGCTGACCAAATGCGAGGGGGTCAATAAACTCTGTGGGAAAACGTATTTCATACACTTATGAGCAATCCCTCAGATATTTTTAATTTACGGCATTTGCTTTTGTTTTATTTATGCCTTCCCATGGACTGTCAGAGAGCACCTTGTGTTTGTCTAACTTCAAATGACCTCTCTACACAATGCAACTTGCTTTTCAAACAGTAGAGAAGACAGAAAGTGGAATGGAATCATTACGTCTTGGAGACTGTCAAGTCACCGCTACTAAAGGCCAAAACTTCAGTCAATACCCTTTGCTCCTGACTTCTCTGAATCTATCCTGCATCATGACCTGTTTTCTTCCTGTTAATTGAAACATTAATACTGTAGATTTTTCTGCCCATCAGTGTTCAAAAAACAGTACAGTAAATGTTTATTTGAATGGTACAATGTGTTTTTTTATACACATAAATAAAAAAGTCTCTAAAATCTGGCATCCGGCCCCCAGCTAGGATAAAGTGACACAATGATGTACAAAGGAGCCAAGGGTATGGAAAAAAATAATTATGATTAATGATGGATCTAAATAATTTCAAGCTCCAAACCAAAGAGGAGACTTGAATTCCTCCATTGTGTCACAATGCTGCGTTCTGAGCGTGCTGTTTATTTTGCTTATATATTTTGGTTTCAAAATATACGTTATCCTCCATCCGTTTAACTGAGATCAAAGAGCATTTACTTTTATGGTTGGACAGAAAACAAATATTCATTCTAAACTGTGAAGAGAAAGCAATCAATTTGGATACATAAATGAGGAGACGAATGTAAAAAAATTAAGTAGCGGAAAAATACATTTTTGTGTGTTTTTGCAATGGATCTTCGGAGATTAGACATTAGCCCTCAATAAGCACATTCATCGGTTTAGCTGTGAACATGAACTTCCCATTGGCCACAATAAGCAGAGCTGGAGGCTGTTATCCTGGGTAACTGGTAATATTGCAAAAGTGCTAGAAATAAACTTCAATTTCCTGCAGTCATGGGAATATGACCTTGTCTAAGCTGCCCTCTCCATAGGGGTTGATTGTACTGTTTGTGAATTCTTTGTGCTGTTGTCCTGTGAGTCTCCACTCAGAATGAGACACATCTGGCCTGGTGCTGGAAGCAAAGCTAAAAAGGGCCCTGATCCCCACCCTCTCAGCTTGGTTTACTTGAAAAGGAAACAATGGAGCCTGAAATAAGAGCCTCAGAGGACTAAAGAAAGAGCTGTTATGAAAAAAATAGTTAACCATTATGCGGCCCACTGGAAAACAAAATAGAAGTGTAATTATATATTTTGTATGTTTGGATTAATTTGAATCATTTCTTGAGATACTTAAAGATGTAAGATTCTGTTGTGAATAGAACACTTAAGCGATATGTCACAATCTGGAAAAAAATTACTTAAACAGGTTTGAAAACTACCCACATTAAACAACACTCTTCAGTGTTTTAGAGGTAAGAGCATTTTCCTGCAGTAATAATAGTTTCCCATTTAAAGGAAGCATGCTGAATGCCTCTGTTATTTCAGTAATTGAGTAGCAACTTATATGTAATCATTTCTGTTTTTAATTTATTAAAAACAGATATGTTGGCCATGAGTATACTCTTATCAGTGTCTTTTCTCTTCCAGAAACTCGGAAAAGGAGGAAATCACTGAGAAGAAAGTTTGATTCCTTTTCCAAAGAGAAAAAAGAAAGAGGTAAGTGCCAAATGAACAAAATTCCGGGCTCTAATACAAAATTTACATTGCTGCTTGACTGGTGGGCTCATCTCTAGGAGACCTGATTTGTGCAATTGAGCAAATATTAATGACTCTAAAAAGTAATATTAGCCAATGAAGCTTGGGTTGAAATTTTCAAGATCAGTTTAAATGGCACACAGGGGAACCCAGATCAGCAGTTTTACTTATGAACAGGGGTCCCTGATTGTTACCACATAAAGATAATCAAATTGAGTTTTTCAGGTCTCTGTAAATCTCAGGCTCTAACACACCTGAGATTTAGCTATCAAAATAAAAGGGTAAATTTGTATATAGTTGCACAAACCACAGATGTTATATTGAATTTTTTTTTTCCTTATGCTACAGTTCAATTTTCAATCATTTTTGGTCTGCAGGAGCCTGCAAGTCCTGTGCAGATCACACATTGAAACACAATCATGTGTTCATAGCATGAAACCTATATTTCTTATGTTTAAAGCAAGAAACCAGAACAAGTACCTTGTTGTTGGGAATATCTCTGCTTTTCATCTCCCAGATTGAATGACAAAGAATGAGAGAATTAGACTTATTCTTTGGGAACAGCTGTGCTCTTAGGAGGCATGTTGAGAATTCAGATTGCAATCTAAAGTCATCAAGTGGGCAACCACATACCACGCACAGTATCCCATCCTTGGTGGGTCCTGTTCTGAACACATACAAAGTTCTAGTTAACATTTGCATTGCAGCTGATGAACTAAGAGGTTTTGCAGACATCAGGCTATGTCAGAGAATAGTAGCAAACTTTATTCAGGTTCTGCTGCATGATTCATACGACCTTGGTATGAATCAAACTAGATTTAAAAAAGTTAGGAACTGACTGAAAGAAAATCTGTTTTCACTGGCAGGGATGGGGGCTATAGTGAACTTATCTCCATGTTAGGAATGTCTTTAAGCACTAGAGATAGCAAAGCTTGGATGACAATAAGACCTCCACTTTAAGGAGCTTAGACAGGCCACATGGGGACACTCAAGTATACTGAGTATGGATTACTGTAAGACTACAGCATTGGATTCAAGTTTTCACAGGTGGAAAACTTTTAAAGCAGAGAACATGATGCATCATTACTAAACAGTCGGAGCCGAATCATCTCTCTCTGTATAATCATTTATATAGAAGCCAGCAGCCATATCACCCTGCAACTCACAACTGGCAGCTCCACTGAAGCTCAGCAGGTGTGAGCCTGGTCAGTACCTGGATGGGAGACCTCCTGGGGTCTAAGGTTGCTGCAGGAGCCAGCGTTAGTGGAGCCAGCAGGGTGCGTTCACCCTGTGGTCTATGTGGGTCCTAATGCCCCAGTATAGTGATGGGGACACTACTGTAAAAAGGCTCCATCCTTCAAATGAGACGTAAAACCGAGGTTCTGACTCTCTGTGGTCATTAAAAATCCCAGGGCGTTTCTCGAAAAGAGTAAGAGTGTAATCCCGGTGTCCAATCATGGCCTCCTAATAATCCCCATATATGAACTGGCTTCATCACTCTGTTCTCCTCCCCACTGATAGCTGGTGTGTGGTGAGTGTTCTGGTGCACTATGGCTGCCGTCGCATCATCCAGGTGGGGCTGCGCATTGGTGGTGGTGGAGGGGAGTCCCCATTACCTGTAAAGCGATTTGAGTGGAGTGTCCAGAAAAGCGCTATATAAGTGTAAGGAATTATTATTAATTCTTATATACCAGATGAATCTGATGGACTTCATGGCTGCCTCTCGTTTGGGAATTGTCCTATGTTTCCTGTTTTGTGGCCTGCACTTGTCGGGATGTGATTATGCCCAGGCACTTTCCTTCTTTGCAGAGACTGCTCCCAAGGCGTTTGGGATCCCGCTAGCTCAAGTCATAGCGAATGACCGCGCCCACAAACAGAGGCAGGGTGCCCTGAAGGAGAGCAGGAGGGACTGCCTGGACCTGGAGGCCAGCGTGCTGCGCTTCCGTGCCGAGAAGAATAACCAGTCCTTCTGCAGCCCCGACTCAGCCCCCAGCCCTTCCCAGGAGCTCAGCTGCAAGCCTCTCTCCCCCATGTTCTTGGACAACACCTCCAGAGTGCATCGCCGGGTAAGCTTTCTCCCCATGCAGCTTGCAGCAACAGTATGCATGTCTCCAAGACTGTGTCACACATCTCGATACTTAACGCTGATCCCCTCTTCCACTCGATCCTGGGTCTATCTGTTAACATAGTCCTGAATACACACTGCAGCTATTTCAGACTATCACATATTAGGCACACTGATTGACATCTGCCTTCATTAGCAGCACGTAGACACCTGAAATGGGGCTCCTACAGAGGAGTACACACCTTACAGCTTGTAGATCACAGGTTCAAATTCAGTCTGTCCCCCCGCAGATGACAGGAGCACCCAATTTTTGGTCCTAACATAACAGAGCACAGGAAGGTTTGAGTAGGGTAACAGCCGCAAGGGGCTCCTCAGTTCAGCCTGAAGCAGAGAGCCCTGAGACTCACTGGACACCTTCAGGATTGGCAGATGTTCATTGATCGCTCTGCTTCACATTGGAACAGGATTGTTATCCACTTTAAATTTGACATTCAAAGCAGAATATGTTTGCCCGGAGTGGCCCAGCCAATGAAAGCTCTTGCTCGGAGAGCAGGATTAGCTCTGTTGTCCTGTTGTCAGTTGTTCAAGCCTGGGCTTGAAGAACTTGCTGTGTGTCACAAGAGGCTGGTGAGTGAAAGCCAGAGTTCTCTTACCTTGCCACACAAGACCAGAATCAGGTACCCCTTGAGAAACTGTGAATGTGCAGTGACATCAGTGAAAGATCTTCACTTTTTAACTTAATGCTAACTGTCCTGTGAGGCACTGTGAGACTTACAGTATGTGTCAGCTGGCAAGAACCTCTATTAGATAGGTGTGTTGGAGAAGTGTGTGTGACATATGGGCTATAGTGGTATACTGAAGTGGTGCAGGAGTAAGAGGGTTAAATTAAACAATGTGGTACATGTGTTACTTGCCAGAGAAATAATGAAGAAAGACTGTGAGACAGATAATGGAAGCAAGCATTCTTTGGTACAAAAAAAGCACCCAGGACTGAGAAGGTCAGAGCTCAGGTCCAAATGACCAAAAATGGGCCTCATTCTCTTACTACCTTAAAACAAATATTTTAGCACAAATTGAGTTAAACAAGTAAGGTATCTAAGCCACCACAAATGTTGTAATTCTGTAGTTGGTGTACTGTGGGAGCTTCTATGTGTCATACATCTTTAAGGAATAGAGGCAGTTTGCTAGATTGTAACCTTTACAATTGACGTTTGGGAGATGAAAGCTGATTAATCTGCCTGTACAACCGTTGCAGTGAGGAAAGCTGGAGATTTTCTGTGTTTTTGTTGTTATTTTTTAGATGAATTATATTCACTGTATGTATGCTCAATACACTGAGTATTTTCCCCACTCAAAATATCTTACTAATGACCAGCGATTTCAGTTAGGATGGTTAAGAAAATGGAAACTAAGTGGTGATTTCAAGTTTTGAAACAAACAGAAACAGTATAACAAATGGCCGAATGTGAAGCCATTGCTCTATGAACAAGAGTTTACTAGATGAATACTGTCTGCCAAATCATATTTTGTTGCTCTGCAAGTGGTGAGGTTAATAAGCCTTTTTTATTGAAGACTTTGGAAGAATAAATAAAGCAATGCAACCCTGGCTGACCTAATGCCTGACATTGCTTCAGGGGAAAACATTTGAGTGTTCTTCTAATACAATTTGTGGCAGCTGAAAGGAAAGCATTTTTCAAATCGTTTTGCAAATCATTACATGTACTCAAATGAATAAAACACAATCACTGATATTTAGGATAAATAAAATTAGCTGCAGCTAAAATAAGATGCATTCATGTTAACATTTTGTACTGTGTTGGGAAATGGTCTGCAAAGCTCATTGATGCTCCTTGTCGTAGTAAGTCTATTTGTATGAGTGGCATTGGGTTTGATACAGTTCGTATTCAAATACTGCACGTTGTTTTTTTAAAAGAAATGTTTAAGAAATAATATAACCTTTTTACTAGTTCAGTTTTTCAGCACGTTTGGAAAACCGATGAGCAAACAGCACATCTTTAGCAAAGTTCTGGAGACCGCAGCAGCCTGTCGCTAAATTTGTGCCAAGCGCAGACATCGGCCTCAGAAATATATCTCACATTGCGTCATTTCACCTTTGGAAAATCCGAGATATATTTAAATATAGGGATAAATCTCATTGTCTCTGGTGATACATTATTCCCAGACAAATTCCAAGAAAAAGAAAAAAAAGTTTCAATGTTTGGCAGTGAAACATTGGTTATTTGGTTCAGGGTGGGTTTGTCAAAGTCTGCATTAATACCGCCTTGCTATAAAAGGAAGCACAAAATCAACGAAATTATACAGCGTCACAGTGTCTTGTCTTTAGCCATACTTTTGCAGGCAAATATTGACCAAAAACCATTAAAAAAATACTCCTTAAGTGAAAGTACTACCCAACATTTGGGGTTCTTATATTTTCCAACCTATCAGTTTTCTACACAAATTGAACAGCGAATGAAGCAAGGCAGTCTGATTAAGAGATAAATGCACATCCACAGAAATGCAGAACAAATGTCCTAGTCTTTGTCAGCATTATTAGAGATTAAACAAACTTATTATATAAGTTTGTTATATAATAATATACTTATTATATTATTATAAGTTATTATTGGAGATTAAGCAAAAAAAGTCTGCAAAAGAAGACTTCTTTTAAAAACTGAAAACTCAGCAATTTAATAATTGCATTGCATGTCAGAGACACAGGGCCTGGCTTAGAAAAGGTTCTTATGTGATAATGTGCACCTTATCCATAGGCTTATCATTGGATAAGACTCGTCTTATCATATAAGAGATTTTGCAAACAAGACCCAGTTTCTGTTATACCACAAGTCTGATGAATAGCGGAACTATTTCTTATTTTTTAATCTTATTTATTAACATTAGTATTATTAGCCCTGTCTACATTGTCTATGTCAGTGTCTTGTCTGTATTTGCACTGTGGACCAGGAGGAAAGATATTTCGTTCCACTGTATACTTGTATATGGCTGGAATGACAAATGAACTTGAACTTGATGGTAATAAACACTCACAAGAAACCAAGTGGAAACAGTCCTAGATTACCACCAGCCGTGTGGACACGTGAGATGCATGACAGTGTGAAAGATGCAGTAGTTTAAGTGGCTTGAACTAGGCTAAGATGTGTCACACTCCTAATCCCTGTCCGTTTCAGGGAGGGCTGTCTGTGGATTCCATTTCCGACCTGGTGGACAGCCAATCGCGGCTGCTGGAGGCTCTCCAGCTGTCCCACCCTAACGAGCTTGAAAGCAAGAAGGTGACAGGGCGGGCAAATAAACTAAGCATCAATCCCATCTACAGGCAGGTGCCGAAATTAGTGGACTGCTGCTGTGAACACATTGAGACCTACGGTGAGTCTGCCCAACGGATGGAGAACTGATGGATTGGAGAACCGGGATGTTTCTGAACACATTTGTAGAGGCCATGTCTGGATTTTATTTCCACAAAAAAAAAAATCAGCACAACCATTTTGATTAATAGCCTGGCTGAAATTAAGTGGCAGCCATTAGATATATGAAGATCAGAAATGTCTCTACACATAGATATTATTCATAAAAATGTACAGTTCAGAAAAGAGTGTGGTACATGAAACACAATGCAAGAAGTAGGACAAGTTTCACTGAGAATCCAGACACAAATTAAGCAAGTGCCAAACTACAGTAAGCACACTGCGGATTTACAGGTCCCATAATCAGAGAAATGTGAGGAACTTGTAAAATAGTGATACCCCAAAACCATAGTCCCTCAAATACAAAGTCAACGATGCACAAAAAGCAGAGAAATGTTCTTCCTGGTTGTTATCAGTACAGTACATCATAGAGCAGTTTTATGGAGGCATTCTGACATCAGCATACTAATCCATTTCTTTTTAATCTTGAGAGAATAAGGACAATTGCAATTGCAATTGAATACAGTGCAATAAAAGTTCATGCAGAGCTTATCTTTTGGTGGACTAGATAGGCATCTTAGGCATCTAAAACATTGAATAACTGTTTAAAAAAACTTACTTGTCTTTTACAACCATATAAAACAGATTAATATAAACTAAAAAATGCTGTTGCCTTTCAATGCTATTGACTTAATAATATGCAGTACAAGTTAAATTACTAGTGAGACTATTCACTTTTTTGTCTGTAGCTTTCACACATTTGCTTTTGGAGATAGTTTTGAGCTGTATTATTTTTCAGCAGAAATAGTTGGTTTAAATTAAGTTTAAATGAAAAAAAAGTTTTGTTTTAAATTGAAATATACAATTACTGTATATAGAAGAAACAAGAAACCTATTGTAAATGTTGTTCTTTCAGCCTGGGCTTTGGATATGAAAGTTATTTTAAGAACAAGGCATAAGATATATATATATAAGTATATGCACTCTTGATCTAAGAAAACATCTGACAATAATTTTCTTTCGTCTTACAGTCGTCTATTTCTGCGTAATTGAAATTGTGAAAACGTGAAAGAAATTCCTTTTTCATAGTGCACCACAAAGCAAAAATCCTAATCTAAATGTTTTTTAATTTTTTTTCAGGGAACGTAAGTGCCAGTTTTTAACCTCAAGTCAGGAGGAGTTCACTGTATCACAGATCACTTTTCTTGTGCTAAATTTTTGAGTCAATTAGTTTCACAGAAATTGATGTCCAAAATGGTTTTTAATGACAATAACCTCAAACCTTCCTCAAAAACAGTAAGGACCTGTAACAGATTTTTTGCCTTTCATCCTTGTCTAATGCTTTGGTTCATTTTCCTTCAGGTTTACAAACAGTTGGGATTTTTCGTGTTGGGAGCTCGAAGAAAAGGGTCAGAGAGGTATTTTCATTTATTTTTTTTACCCGTTTCGGAATTTTCTAATGACATCTTCAAATGTCTTCACTCGTCGCACTCCTTTTCCAAATGGACACCTCCTCTTCATGATAAATTGTGTGAGCTATATCTTTCATGCCACTGTAAAATTGTTTTTTATAACTGCTAAACATATACATCTTTCAGCATTTTCTATGTCAGATTATTTCATAAAACTCCAATTTCAGTATCATATGAAAACTTCACTTGCTTAATCTATGCTAGAATCAAGATAATATAAGGTAGGAATTGTATATGAATTATTAATGTATTTGGCTGATACTTTTATCCAAAGAAACTTGCAGTTGTCCACCTGGACATTTCAATGTGCAACCTGAGTGAAGCTCCTGGCATAAGGTTAAAACAGCAGAGTCTCCACACAGATTCACCCCAGAGTCCTGATGGCTCCTCAACACTGCTGTTTTAGGAAGAGTATTAAACCTAATACAGACTCTTTTGGTGCTGTGCTCATTGCAATACACCATTTAGGGCATTCACTTCTTATCTGTACTGTTTTCTTTCCTGTAAGCAGTTCTTAGTCTAAATACATGCCTTTAAGTATCTACCACCTGCAGTTTGCAAATTATAATTATTAAAAGGCTTCTGAAAATATAAATATGCCATTTCAAATGCTCTATGTGTGTCTGTTACTGTAGTTTCTTGAAACTCACATATGAATTATGCTGGATCTACTTCTCCTTTAACCATCAATATTGAAGTCAGATTTATGTTCTATATGATATGATATCTATATGATTTTGTCATATTAGCAATTGTGGATAAAGTGCATTATTTGCGAATAAGACCTACTTGCCCCTTGAGAAGCTTCTAATTGTAACTGCAGTGGATATGTGTTCTGTCTTTTTCTGTAACTACTGTTTCAAAGTAACTGCCCTAAGACCGCTCCCTCGTGTCTGAGCAGCTGCGGGAGGAGTTTGATCTGGGCAACGACGTGATTCTGGATGATGAGCACAGCGTCCACGACGTGGCTGCCTTGCTGAAGGAGTTCCTGAGACACATGCCCGACCCCCTGTTGCCTCGGGAACTGTATCCCGCCTTCCTCCACGCCAACAGTATGAGAAAATACCGGGGCCGATGCTCAGAGTCTTTTCCTTAGAGTGACTGTCCTGTAGCTACCAGGACACTTTGCAGTTTTGCTAAATTGATATCTGCAGCTTGGAATTTTTAGTCTTTAGTCTTTTTATGAACACCAAAAATCAATCAGATTTTTAATATTTTAATAATTCATATAATATAGTGCGTCCATGTTGTTGTTTTGAAGCTAATGCTACCTACGGTGTAATTTACAGCTGCTATTTGTTTCCAGTGAAGCCTGGCAAAGTATCGCTAACAACAGTAATGTACACTGAGATAAAGTCAGTAATATTTTGTGTCATCGATGGCTGGAGTACTGAACAGCTGACCTTAGCAAAGTCATTAAGAAATGGTATTGATTAATACCATTGTAGCAAAGAAGCAATGTTTGAATTTTAGGGTGTTTTACAGATAATGGCCAGTCTTAGCAACAGGACTGTCATCTTTCTTTTTTTTTTATGCTTCTGTCAATAAATGTTAAAATGATTAAGATCTGTTTTCCCCCATCTGTTCGATTACTGTTGTTCTCTTTCCCATTCACTTTATACTTATATGTTCTGTATGTTTGGTTGAGATGCTCCTGGATCTCTTAGCTGTAGTAAAACTCCGAGAGGTTTGCACACCTCACTGGGGCCCAGGAGCTGTGTGTGGCTGACAGTAGGCTCCTGCATGATGAATATCCAGCAGCACTGAGAGCAGCTGACCTGCTCGACCTGACTGCACCTTATTTGTGTTGAAGCCCTGAAGGGAGACGAGCAGCTGGAAATCCTGCAGCAGCTGATCTACCTGTTGCCCCCGTGTAACTGCGACACCTTGCAGCGGCTCCTGCAGCTCCTGCACACCGTCCAGAGCTACGCGGAGGACACCGTCGGCCCTGACGGAGAGCTGGTGAGCCTTCCTGCGCCCCACCCCCCAGACAATGGGACAATGGGAGTTCTGGGAGAATGACCGCAGTCACTCGTGCCAAAAGTGAAACACAAGAGCAAACATCTTCCTTCTAACACTTACAAACACTTCAGGCAAATAATAAGAAGGGGCTAATCGGCTCATTCCTGAAAGTGAGATTTTTCTCTCTACATTGAAATATTCCAGCAGAAATGCCAGCTTTGATAGTGGTACCACAGATATTGGATCTTGCACTTCATGCCATGAGGGAAAAATGCTGAAAACCTCGCTTTAAGAAATCAAGCCTCGTGGCTTCATCGGCTCTCTGATACCAGAGGGCACGCTAATGATTTCCAAACAAATGATACCATAAATATTGTGTGTTGTCCACAATGTTTCTTTGACATCCGCTTATCGCACTTGCAAACTGCAGGATAATTGGAAGTAAACCAGAAAATCGAACTCAACAGGAAGCCCACCTTACATTTAAAATGTCGTTAGATTTTGGGGTAGATGGTTATTTGAAAGCATTGCTGAGGTCAGAGTCACAGGAGGAACTCCCAGTTAACTGGTCCCATCCATTGATTTCAGGTTCCTGGGAATAAGATGACAGCCACTAACCTGGCAGTCATTTTTGGACCCAACCTCCTCCAGAGGGAGAAGGCTGCTGAAAAGGACCATAGCCTCCAGATGGTGGACATAGAGGACAGTGCCACCATCATCACCATCACCCTCAGGCTGATAGAAAGCTACAGAACCTTGTTTACTGTAAGATGTCGGTCATATTCTTTTATCTCTGACTTTCAATACTTCATTCACTTCATGCCGGGATTGTTACTGCTAACCCAAAATCCCAGGACTCTTTAGAAAAGAAATGGTTTGAAAATCTGAAAGGTTACATGTGAGAGGAAGTAATTTGGCCTATAGTATATAGCCCATTTGGTAGTTAGTAATTAATTGATCCAAGGATGTCACAGAGGTAATTCTCTGTATCTGTATCTAGGTAGAAAAGAGATTATTTGAGGCAGGAATTGGTTATTAAATAAAAAACAGAGGGTTATTTGTGGTGACGTTGTTTTTGAAGTACCTCAGAGCTCTGTGCTAGGGCCTCTTCTTAATTATATCAATGGCCAAGATTCTGTTATAGTAAACTAGTCAAATTTGCTGATGAGACCAAATTAAGACAATAAGCAAATATTGCCAAAGCAGCAAATGAAATCCAGAAATATTTAAATAAAAGTAAATAATTAATCTTTTATGGGAAACTTTATCAAAAGGCCTCTTATACAGTTGGTATACAGTTGGTTGTACAGTTGAATTCTCTAGTTCAGTTCTTTTACTATTTCAAGTACTTTACATGTGAAAGAAAGCAGACTTATATAAATTCTATTGTCCAGACTGTAAACTGGTTAAGTTTTCTCACTCTTTTGTGGATGGGCTTCCCATTAGCAATTCTCCAGTCCCTGGATACTATCCCTATCTTAAGGAACTGTTGGAAGAGTAATAATTAGTAATACTCTTGTTGTTGTTATTGAGAATTATGTAGAATACTTTAAAGGTGAGGATTATGGATGGACACAGTATTAACAGCATCAGCAATACTGGTCTACAAAAAAGTGAAGATACAAATAAGTTTGCATTAAATCCATCTTTAAAAGCTTATGAACGAATGTTTTGTTTAATGGAAAAACTAACCCAATCTGGGTCTTATTGAAGTGGAAATCTTTTCAGGTTAAGGATTGTTCAAGGATCGGGTTACCATGAAAGTTTTATGTTTGACTTATTTTGGTATTAGATTTGTGAGTGGCTTTCATGTAAGTTTTTCCACCCATACTTGGCAATAACGTTCAGTTGCATGGAGACATGACACTTGCAGAAATTGTTATTAATGGACAAAATGCTACTAGTATCTGCAATACTGACTTACATAAAAAGTAGAGATACCAATAAATAAGCATTCAATTCCTTTTAAAAGACTTAATAAAGTGAAAGAAGAATATGTGAAAGTATGTTTTCAGATATCTTATTTAATGGGAAAGTTAACCCTAACCAGGGTAGGAGTAGAATCTTGCCAGGTTACAGTTAACTCAAGATCAGGTAACATTTCCCATGAAAGTCTTACTTATTTTAGTGCTATAGTTTCTTTAGTTTCTTATGCTCCCTCTTGTTTTCAGTCTCTCATATCTCCTTACATCCCCTCTTGTCCTCTCCACTCCTCTGCTAGTTCCTCCTGCTTCTCGTCACTGAACACTTCTCTGGTGCAACCAGATACCATGGAGGTATTCATCAAGACCTCACAGCTCCTCGTGAGGACCCTCCTGTCCAGACTGCGCCTATAGACATTACAGTTCAGCCCTTTCTCTGCTAGAACTGCTGTACCTGCAATTGTTTCACTTGAGCTCATGGCTCTCTACGTTAAGCAGAGTTATTGCACAGTTGCTTGGTCATTCGAATAGTTGTTTTTTTTCTATGAATGCAAACTAGACTAGCATTGACAAAGATATCAACAAAATGGAATCAGTAATCATAGTTATGATCATGGAGTTCCTGGGGTTGTAGTAATCAATCGTTGAGACTGTTTCAAGAACTTCTGGCAAAAAAAAATCTCTTGAGGTGGAAGCCCCAGTATTGTTCATCATTCACTGTCACAACTTTGTTCTAAAACTTTCAAACAGATGAGGTTTTTTTTTAAATAAAAATAACTTTTATAAAAGAAAATCAGGCTGGAGAAATACTGGTGTGATGTTTGCCAGCAAAGCTGTACTAATGGAAAAATGAACCTATTAGTTTTCCACAGTTTCCAGTCATGTGAACCTGAGCACTGCATTCTCCTTTTGCTCCCTAAATCTGTCTGGCTAGAGCTATTTCCCTTCTTCATTATTTCAGCATGTGCTGACACACAGATTAAGCAAGAATGCAAGCCTGCGCCTTGCAATTAAATTCCAAATTAAAATATTTTGCGCTTTTCCAAAACCTCCCTCTTTGAGGTAAAGTTGTATTGTCCGACACTGACCGCAAAGTTTGTAATCAGGAATCATAAAGGATCCATAGTATACATGCATCTCTGCATTACCCTTCATAATGTCAAGATATTTAATGAATCCTAAATTTATGTTTTGAGAACTAACATCAAAGAGCCTGGTTCTGGAAGAGCAGGACACAGACATCTGGAATTTAAATTTAGGATCCACTTTATGGGCCAAACAGTGAAAGAGAGGGACTGTTTCTCAAATTGGAATGGTCTGGATCTGAATTGTTTGGAAGAGTGATAAAACCTTGTGTTTATGTGTTTTTCATCCCAAAGGATCCAATGCACTCATTCCTATAGCAGAGATGCATATCACCTACCACTGAGCGGTATGACAAATGCCAGTCATTCTTCTCTACTTTAGCTAAGACACCAGGGTTAGTGCCTGAAAGCATGTTCTGAAAGCATTTTGTCGAGATTATACTTGGAATAATGTTTCATGTTCCTCAAAAAGGTCATATATATTATTTGAAAGTAATAATTAGTAACGAATTGCTTGTACATAGGACTTTTCATCCCCAAAAGGTTTACATGTGCTCTTTGGGATGAAAGAGCAAATCTAAAGCTTAAAAGTACAGCTCCCCCTGGGTGACACAGCCATTCTACAGAAGCAAAAAACCCCTGGACAGCAGATCAGGGGGAGGGAGTGAGAAACTGCTTTACCAGGTGAATTGAGATGAATTATCTTTAGGGAAGGCCCAGAGTGCAATTTAACCAAAATTTGGGGGTTTAGGGGTTCTCTTACAAACGGTAGTATCATGCAGTTCTTAGTGACCACGTAAACAGGATCTGTTCAATGACTTATCGGAAGGAGGGTGCAAAGGAAAGAGTGCCACCTGCTGGTTAAATTGTAGGTATGAAAAACAAAATGTTCCCCCTAAATGTATTATTGGAAAACATATTTGGATTCATCTGAGGTTCCAAAAAAGTGAGGTGAAATTTTTGTACCACAGGAAAAGATCTTAGTCACCCTGGAAGGCTGTTACAGGCTGATACAGAAAACAGCTGTTTTGTTTTAACAAACGCTGTTTTGTTACAGGTTTCTGCTGCTATGCAACAGGAGGTCCTGATGGGTCTGCTACAGACAGACCCTGATGTGATTGATTACCTCCTGCGCAGGAAACTGAGGTACGCTTTGTGTTTAGTGCCTTGCCTTCATGAAAAAACCGGCCTGGAGGAGCACAGCTGCAAAACTAACTGGTGTGAGGCTTACTTTGATCTCTTAAAAAGAGGTTTCATATATTTTCACAACGTTTTTAGAATAGCCACATTAATGTTAATCTTTGTGTTGAGAGAATTTGTTCAGTATTTTCTTTATTGTGAAGCCAAAAAATGCACATTTGATTTTCTGCTGTGAAATTGTGATCGAGGTACTTGCAACTTAAAAATTGTTGAACGGCAAAGTATGGAGTAGAAGACATTTTCTGCTCAATGAACTCAGCCTAGCCCAAGGACTGCTACGGTTACCAAGTATTGTAGAGTGGATGAGCACTGGCAGAGATGAAGAGCATGTCTTGTTTAAGGTCATGCCTGGAGATCCTTAGAGAATAAACAGAAAAAGGATTACTCATTCTGAGACCTATGGTCCAGTCACTGCTAGTGTGAGCCTGGATTATGTTACTGGCTTATTGAGACCAGGAATGCCTCAAGAATTGACTCATAACAGGCTGTGCACACCCCAGGGTTTGGGGTGCCCAATTCAGTCAGAGTTCTCCCAGCTTTTACCACAACAACGATTCCTGGGGCTCCTAACTGGTCATCAGTGCAAACTATTTAACTTGCACTGATATAGAGATGTGCGTCTCATTCAGTCCATGATAACTGTCCTCCAAGACCAGAGTATCAAAAGATGAATGGCTTCAGAATGTAGGTGTGTAAAAGGAATGTGTCTGCAGATCCTCATTCTTCCTGTGCAGTACAGGATTTATAGCAAGGAAGCACAGTTAAAGGCAAATCATGATTGAAAGTGTTTGTGTGTAAACTAAGCAAGAGTGGCAAATGTCAGTTGCAAAGACCAGCCTCTGATCATGGTTCTCCTCCTGTGACAGGGGTTTGGATGCAGCCAGCCAATCAGATTCTTCTGCAAGACACTGCTCTTCCAAGACATCCCACGATTCCACCACACTGTCAAGTGAAGATTACTCCCCCCAGGATACATCTTCTGTCATTTTGGATTTGGATGACAGCAGCCTGAGCAACGAGGTCTTCTTCAGCTTCTTGAGTCTCAACCAGCAAAGGCAACGTAAGTGTTCAGGGAATAAGGGTCCCCTTGACATTGAGGCAAGACAGGTTAGAGGTGAGACAATGTGGTCGCCTCACCAGACACCCGCTCGTCCCGTTCTACAGCAATGCCTTTACCACAGTCACTGGAATGTGGAATGACACAGGACCAAAAAGATTCCTCTTAGAACAAAACATCACCAAAGAAAGATGTGCTTTTGTGTGCTGTCAAAGACTCTTTTAAAGGGTAACTGCGACACTAGTTTTAGATTTCAGGGTTAGAAAGCATCAGGATTGATGAGTGCATTTCAAATCACAGTAAAAGAGTAAAACCTCCAGTTTGCATCACAAAATAGATTACATTTCCAGGTATGCACGGTCCCATATTCTGCGATTCAGAATGAGAACAAAACTTCGGGAAACTTGAAAGGGCCCTATTACATTGTAAACAAGCAGGCTTGTGAATACTGTACATCTCTTTTGATCCACTAGAAATCTTGCTCTCGACTTCAAGATAATTTTACCAATGAATACTACTTATTTGTTAACTCTGCATGCAGATCACATTGGAACATTTCTGCAGTGAAGTGTCAGCTGCATAACCTGTACTTATTTGCTCATACATCTCATTACATAAGTCATTACGGTGACTAGTGAGCAGGAAGGGCCATTTCACCTTGCACTTCATGCAAACATGGTGACTTATCTACTTTCCCAAAGTTCACGATTTTGTCGTTAATTTGAAATTTGTCAATTTTTCCTATAACGTCAATGGATTATATTTTGTGACCGAGATTTAATGACCCATCTGAGAAATTGGGATTGCAGCTCCCCTTTAAAGAGATATATTTAATCTGATCACAATAACCATTTAATGATATGTGATGCAAAAGTGCCATGTTGTTGTGCCTCACACCGATATAGTGAAATGTGAATGTGAACCATCTCTCTTAGGCCCCTCTGAAAAGAGCCCCAGAAAACCGATGAACCAGACAAGACAGTTTCATTCGTACCACAACCTCTCCAGTCTGTCCGATTCTTCCTTTGGAAGCCGGCTGGAAGACTGGGAGACGTTCGAACTCAAGAATGAGCGTCGCTTTCTCAGGCATAAGAAGCAGACCTCCCACACAACCTCCTGTCAGAGGGGGAGCCCGACTGGTAGTTCCGAGAGCCAGCCAGCATCTGATTTCGTGAGCCCCAGTGACAACGTCTGCTTTTCACCTCTCAACTACAGCCAGGTCACGAGAAACAGCCCCAGCCCCAGCCCCAGCTCCCCCATCCAAATTCTCCAGCACCCCTCCCTGGGAGATAAAGTGTTCATGAAGCAAGACACTCCAAGCACGCCTGACGGAAAATCACAGGGTAGTCCCACAAGCTTCTGGGACTGTTTTACGGGAAATATCTCCGGTTCAGAAACAATTGTATGAACTCCAAGACTATTGTCTGCCAGCTCCACAGGAATAACCTGAGAGTGGCGATCTGAGTATGACATGAGGCAGCTGGGTTCACAATCCGGCAGTCTGAGGCCCTCCAACAAAACAAAACAAAACATGGGTTCACCTGAGATTGTAGATTATCTTCCTAAATCAGGCAGCTGCTTTTGCGTTTTTCTTCCTGCAGAGTAGTCTAACAATCTGCTGCTCATGAAGCATTGGTTGGATACAATACCTGTAAGATATTGGGGATTGTGCTATTATTGGACTCCATTTTACTGAAAAAAAAATAGTAGAGATTAAAAAAAAAATGCACCAAACACTGAAGATGTACTTGTGTAAGTAGAATTCCTGAATGTTGGAATACAGAAAACCATTCCCATTTTGGAGGTCTTCTTTTCATAGTGCTCAGTATGTACTATTACTTGTTGCATCTGGACTTATTAAAACACTGCTCCCATTTTAGAGTGATGCTGGGATTTTCACTGAAGCCATTCATTAGCCAGCAGCTGTCCCTGCTTCAGTTATGGATATTAGCTGCAACTATATACTGCACTTTTGAGACTTCTGTCCAGTTCCATTTAAAGACTGTACATGAAGAAAAGCACTTAGAGGAACCATATTCTGAGATGGAAGTTCTCCAGCACAAAACCTGTGGAACTTCTTTCTCTTCGAACAATAGACTTGATTGATTAACTGCATGATTTAAGGAAGGTTTTGTTGTTGTTTTTTTTTTCATTTAACAGAGTAATGAAATAACTTTTAATATGTTTAACATGATTTGCGTTGTTTATTAAAGCAAAACGGTGGTTTTCAATGTGCAAGATGTTTTACAGTATATACAACATGATACACATTTATGAACATGCCTCTTGTACATAATTTTAAGATGTAGGACAGGCTGGAAGATTAAGTGTTCAAGAAAGCAAGATACTGCCTTTTGCTCTCTGTGATGTGACTGCATTAATTTGTTGCAAACATTTTGCCACTCATTGGGTTTTTTTGTGCATTGTAATTAATACGCAGATCACAAGGGGGAGCTGTGCTCAAAGTACTTGAAGATTTATTTAAGATTATTATCATGCTGTTAAGCCCAGCATATCCCTGATGATTTCTCTCTTTATTCTCACACTGTTAAACCAAAGTCTCAAACCCTAGACTTTTGCAAAGCTCTTAAGGATTTCTCCAGAACAAAATACATTTTAAAGTGGTTTATACAACTGTCCACTGGCTGCTAATACTAGGACACTCCAAGAATGGCTTTGTGCTGTTGCCCAATCGAGTCTCCCACCTCTAACAGCTATATCATATCAGTGGTTTCTCTGAGCACTGCCCATAGAGAGGAACACTCTATGCCTTCTGAATGGTTATATCCGTAAGACATTAATATAGCAAAACTGAAAACAACCTATACCACAGAGGTATAACAAAGCATGGCATATGGGAGAACTGTAAAGGTATTGTGAAGATTTCCTGTAGTAGACTTGCAGATACTAGACCCAGAAAAAGCAGTAAAAACCAGCACAACTCCGTAACATTTCAGATTACTGCTTTACAAAAGCACGTCAGATACAGATGGCAATCATAGAATGGAATTTAGAATGATTCATTATGATGTTTAAATCCTTTAGGTGTGTGAGAGAGAGCACTGTGCAGCTCACAGTCGGTTACAACCAGAGAACAAGCGTAGCTCTTCTTTGAAAGCAATTCCACGTTTACTCCATGTCAACAGTGAAGGTGAGCACTCTGCTCAAATTTCTCCCCCAGTAGACAACTGTACAGCTGTAACATCCTCTGCTGCAAAACATTAACTTCCGCCTGCCAAATGTAATGAATTACAATCACAGTTTAAGTAGCCATTCAGATTCTATCATTATATTATGTGCACTACTATGGTTAGCCAGCAGCCATATCACCCTGCAACTCACAACTCACAACTGGCAACCTACTGAAGGTAAGCAGGTGTGAGCCTGGTCAGTACCTGGATGGGAGACCTCCTTGGAAAAACTAAGGTTGCTGCTGGAAGAGGTGTTAGTGGGGCCAGCAGAGGGTGGTCCATGTGGGTCCTAATGCCCTACTATAGTGATGGGGGCACTATACTGTAAACAGACACCGTCCTTCGGATGATATGTAAAAAGGAAATCCTGACTCTCTGTGGTCATTAAAAATCCCAGGGTGTTTCTTGAAAAGAGTAGGGGTGTAACCCTGGCGTCCTGGCCAAATTTCCCATTTGCCCTTACCAATCATGGCCTCCTAATAATCCCCATCTATGAATTGGCTTCATTACTCTGCTCTCCTCCCCGCTGATAGCTGGTGTGTGGTGAGCGTTCTGGTGCACTATGGCTGCCGTCGCATCATCCAGGTGGATGCTGCACATTGGTGGTGGAGGAGAGTCCCCATTACCTGTAAAGCGCTTTGAGTGGAGTGTCCAGAAAAGTGCTATATAAGTGTAAGCAATTATTATTATTATTATTATTGTTGTTAACGATCTGACAGCAGATACCATACACTATTAGTACATTTTTTGATTCTGGTATAATAATTTCCCACTAGGGGACGCCACATACTACATAAAAGTTCAGGCTGTTTCTGCTAACTGCACACAAAAATTTCCCCTAGTGTGCTGTAGGAATCTATAAAACTGAAACTCCCACTGCTGTTATGGATTTGTATAGTATTTTATGACACATTGTTATGCAGCAAACTGGTTTCCTAGGACAGTTTTTCCAAAGGCATACTTGGAAAGTGCAATGAGTACCTGGATTTAATGAGACTAAAGTGTACATCGTGTTAGCACTGTTTATTTCAACACACTGAGTTTTTCTCAGTCCAGAATTTACAAGTCTAATAGGAAAACACACTGTACTCAGGTACAGGAAGAATGTGGTTTTTATTTGCTATCTGCATGGTGACCGGCTGATTATCAGACAGGCAGAAAATACATTGCCTTTTCACAATTAAGAATATTGCATAAAGTCTTGAACAGGTAATCAGGAATTTGGTTAAACGTCAGAATATATTTCATTCTTTGCCATTAAAAAAAAAAGCAGAAAACCAACTTCAGATCAAGTGCGATTGAAAAACAGCACAACGTTTTTTTTATATTCCTATTTTTCCAGAAATCCATGTTGTCAATTTTCTCTTAACAGAGGCTTATTAGATCACATACGATTGAATGAGGTCATATCACTCCGGATGTCTTGTAATACTAAGGAGCCGGAGTAATGAACAAGGTTATTACATATCTAAATACCAACTGGTTACAATTCCAGATTTTCCAGTTTCACTTGCTTTGGTTGTCTCTGTATTAATACAGCTGTTCTGATGTCAAGATAATTCTGTCACCTTAAAATTGTCCTGCTTTTATGAATCTACGTTCAATTAAAAACTAAACACTGTTGCCCAGACGGGAACAGTGCAATGTGGGGAGGGCAGAGAGCTTCACATATCGGCTCTGCCGCAGGCTGGCTGCCCTGCTGGCTGTAAGGAGAGGCTTTTCACCACAGACCGCACGCCATGAGCCAGAGGAGTCGACAGGACACGCAGCTGTGACCGCATGCCCAGACCCTGAAGCAAGCCCACTGCATTCCTTTAAACAGCCAATATAAAACAACTCCACGGATGCTGTTGAACCACATCAATGGAAAAAAAATAAGGCACTGTTGAAAGAATCCTGTAAAGTCCAGGAGTGTAGAGTGTGCTTCCTGAATACCAAACTCTGCAAGGCATCTCTGTGTGCGTCTCCGTTAGTGCAGCTGAGAGAGCCAGTTTGATCTTATTCTCTCTTGCCTCCCCATAGACTTGCATAGAGGCTCTCCTGAGACTGGGTTTCATTCCAAGGATGCAGACACCATCCAGCTACAGTACCTACTTTCACTAATTTCAACGTGTTTAAAAATCAAACCCCATTCATTTCTCTTTTACATTCGGCACACTTGGTAAACCAGAGGCAGGTCTTTGATAACAGCGATACAAGGCCTGAGGTTCATGTAATTAACACCGATACATTACAGTACAGAAAGCACTGCCGGTTGAAAATCCAAGTCAGCTGCAGAAGACACCTACGTGGGACACTAACATTAACCATTTTTCAAAGAAACAGCAACATAATCTAGTCATGTAGAAATCACAGGAGGTAAAAATGGCCCTGGAATGGATCTGTCTCCTGTAGTCCTTGAATTGGAATACTAGGTTTTTTCTGCATAGACAAAAAGCCAAAAAAAAAAAGGAATCAGCAATTACAGTGAATGCAAAGCACAGTCCAAAATGACACTTTCACTGGGCCAAATGCCAACTATGATTACACCCCGTGTTAGGCACACAGGGACCCAAGAGGGCACAACCTTCACAGAGTGACAGGAAAGAGACACTGCTGCCCTCTTCTGTTGAGAAACATTGTAGGGATCGCCAAGGGCAGGCAAAAACCTCAAAACCGCATTCAAAAGCAAAAAAAAAGGCTCCCTGCAGCCGGAATAATGGCACAAGGCTAAATTGGTTTCCTGCCACATGACAGGATTGTTTACAATCTGCTACTTGCCTGTTTATTGTTGTAGCTCGAGAGCATTAATGACTAATGGTAATGGTAAAGGGTAAAAGGTCAAAAAGCCTGAAGATACATTCTGTTGAACTGCAGTTGGATGCTGTAGGCAAGAGAATTTTCACATTTCACAACTGGGCAGCTTGGTTCAAAATGTTAAATATGTTAAACTGTCTACATCTGAAACTGACACAAACTCCGTCTCCAAAACACCTCTCCAGCTCAGATCCGAGTCTTTCAGGCCTGTTTACAAGCTACATACAGCGCATTCTCACATGGGAATATTCATTGTTCACATTTTTGTGCCTTTTGTGTCCCACATTCAGCATCTGCCATTACTTGCACTGTACAATTTTGAGCTGCAGGAATTTTTCCCTCTCTGCTAAATACATAACCTTAACTTAATCATAAATTTAAGATAGAAGAGTTTGTCAAAAACTGTGGTCAGGAAGCCAATCTGTACTACACAGGACTGAAGCAAAACAAAATATCTCAATGGCTTCAATAATGAAAGCAAAGTGGACAATTATGTTAATTATGTTAACGATGCTTAATTCAGTCCATTAGATGTTTAGCTTTGGCTGAAACAAGATGCCTGCGTCAATAGACTTCTGATGTTATAAAAGCAGAAATAAGAATTTCAGCTATGAATAGGGACTCTTAAATTAGCACCTTGAAATATCTGCGTAGTGCTCCAGTTTCCTCCCACAGTCCAAAGACATACTGGTAGGCAAACCTAATGTCTGGGAAGTTTGTGTGTGAGACTGTTTCTCTCCTGCTTTGGACTGGCAGCCTTGTGTCCATTACTTGCGGGCATCAGATGTGACCCGGAATCAGATGAAGCGATAAGAAAATAGGATGAATGGGCAGAATATCTGTATAGCACTTCATAATGCCATTAATTCTACTGCAACAGGAACACGTCAGGCATAAATGTAATGAAGTGGCAAATAAATATGGCTCAAACCGTGCTCTTCTCCAAGCTTAGCCTCTTCCACACCTCCAATGCCCGGACTGAAGTAAACTCGTGCCACCGAGACCTTCCTCTGTGCTTCATGAACTTCCCCATCTCCAGAAACACAAGGCAACAGACCAGCTGTTTTACCAATTCTTTCTTTATTTGAGACCCTTTTTTTTTTTGAGGTTGGGGTCCTGAATGATTCACATCCAAATCCGCACAATCGCCCCACCTCCACTCCCACTGTTGTTGTTCCTGGTCACTTACAGAAACCTCATGATCAGAAGTGCACTTTGTTACGGTTGTCAATGTGGTACAGTATACCTCCCTTGACCGATGGAGACAGAAAGAAAACAGCCATCCTACTGGACAAGCCACAGGTTTGCTATGGCGCTCTGAACTGGATTGAAAAGAAATTTCTATGAAAGGACTCAGGACTGCATGGAGCCTAAGGTCCAATAAGCCATGTCAGCCATGACTGTGGATTTGTTTTGGGGTGCATGTATGTCAATGAGCAGCCTCTCTTGGCTACCCCAAAACCAATCCACTCTGCAGGCCTAGAAAGAAGGCAGAACAATATAAACAGTGGAAATTTAGGAAAGGAAAATATATCTTTTCAATACTCTTAGAATTCACAAAAATAGAAGACCCTCACACTCTACCCCACATCTGCCCACCTATTTACAGTTACTACTCTTCACTGGGAATAGTCACAATAATTCACAGCATCTAATGCCTCTTTTCTGGTTATGCAGCCTATGTTTCTGAAGTGTCTTACCCACTGTGATGGTAACAGAACACCCATTCTATTCTAGTGGGTATCGCTGGAGTAGAATACCCACGTGAATGCTCTCCAGGAAAGCACAACCACTCCTACTTACAATTCCTAAGGAAAAGGAAAACTGAATACAAACTAAACCATGGTGACCCTCCTCCTTAACTTTGTCTGCAGTGTATCACAGACAGGGTAGATTCCCAAAGCCTTTCCTGCTACACATCCTGATTGCTGTCAACAAGAATATAACACACAGTAGGTATGCTATACAACTGGGGGGTCAACCTCCAGTGACTTATTATACTAAGGACTAAATCCAATCCAACAACCATCTTCTCATAAAAGAATTAGAAATCATACTCAGGAACTTGGTCTTCTAAGGGGCAAAAAATGCAAGAACCTCCTGATCACAAAAGGAAAGGTGCCTATATCTTTGGACAACACTGGAGTCATGCATGTTTCCTGAAATGAGCAGGGACTTTCCATCAAATTACTAAGAACACAAATGGTAGCATTCAGTCATTCAGTGACTTGGTAGGTATATGGACCAGACTACTAAGCCATGCTACTGATGCAAATACCCTGGCTTCTTTGAAGAAAGGGCTGCATGAGACCTGAGGATCAATAAGCTACCAACGACCAAAATGGGCAAGACTGTCCAATTGACTTGTGCTCCGTCTCTAAAGCCCTTCACAGATGTGAAATCTATCAGACAGGTGAGGCTGCCAAACTGAGAATGGCAACCAGCACTTAACATGCAGCGCCTCACCAAAATAAAGCTGTTACTGTTGATTATAATGTAACTGGAGCCAAGTAATGAGGAAAAATATTTGAGCCTGTAAACCTGAAACTACCTCGGGCTGTACCGAAAGGACACAGGAATTAACCACATTTTTTTTGAAAAGGAGAAAAAATCATAATCAATATACTGGAAAACCAAAAGCGAGTTTAAAACGTGTTGCAGGGACACAGGAATCAACACCCTGCAAGAAGTGTGACTTCCCACCAAAATACTAAGAACACAAAAGGGGCAGCCCTTGCCAATTAACGGTGTGATGGTGCTAATCTGGAAAAAGAAACAGACCCACTGGAAAGTGCTAATGCAAGTGACACTGTGCTGATGCCTGCAGGCACATCACACAGCTCTAACCTCCTGGGCCTGCTGGGATGCCAGCCAGGGAGGGTTGTACTAGCGGCGGTCACTGGCTTCTGGGTTTAGGAAAAGCTATTTCTGTCCTGCAACAGTAGGCTTTCAGGGAGCAAACCAGACTAGATATGAAATCCTCCCACCCCTTTAACCTTTCTCCACAGTCGGCGAGACTGCCGCTGCTCTGCTGATATCTGTGCCCAACTCTCATTTTCAGCACCGACATCGCAGCTCAGCAGATTTCGCTGGTCTTTCTTATCTAAACGCCTCCAAACACTTCTAACTTCGATTGCTGACTACACAATATACAAAACAAACAGAAATCCCCCTGACCTCCGTTTGAAGCAGCACATGAACAATTTGTGCCTTTTTTTGATTTACAGGTCCTTCGACGGACCCGGCTTAAAGAACACATTCCTGCCCACGGCGTGAATATAATAAGAACGGTTCTGCCTTACCAAAAGGCAACTTGATCCCCAGTCTCTTCACAGAGGTTGGAAATATAATTTAATTGACTAAATGCATCATAACTTTATCGGACCAAAATCAACAGCTTTGAAAACGTTCATACAACTGGACATGAGAGACGCCTACTGCCGCGTGATAAAAGATGTGCAAACATTATCAATCTGTTTCCAAGCACATGGTTGTTAATCCATCACTGAGGCTACTCTTCACTGACACCGAGTAGCGTGCCCCTCCTTTTTGTAATCTTTCACCTTATTTGCAATTGCACCACGAAAAAAACCCCAACTCAAGACGACTCCGATTCTGAACCTCTTCCACGCTGTATCGCCTTGTTGGACGCCATCTTGAAAGCAGCGTCGCTGCGGAGACACTGGCAGCACTCTTCACGGCACCTCCTGTGTGAAGCGCCCTGCCCGTATCTCTCAGGGGCAACGTCACTCAACCGGGCTCTTCGGACAGAAAGGTGCAACACAATTGTTCCAAATCCAATCCTCATACACAGATGATGGTAACATAACCGGGAGCCGACCTTGAAACCCTCTGATCTACAGAAATCAGGGGGTAGGGGGTTGGATTTGACAAAATATTCCCTCCGTCAGTATCGTTACTTATAAACCAAAAGTCTACAAAAAAAAAGTTGCAAGTAAAAATCATACAGATACAAACAATTTGTCTGGAGGCGGGAGGAGATAAACTGGGAATTAACTCTTTGAGATCTGCCAGCAGCTCTGTGGCTCACACAGGTTGCTAAGGGCCCCGACTCTCACATTTGCCTCCTGGGCAGGGCTGTGGAGAAGCAGTGAGATGCTCTAGCTGGGGAGCACGCTGCCAGCTGCGAGAACACTTTCCGAGCCCCAATGGCAGCAGAGAGCAGCCCCTCCTGCTTTTCTCAAGCTCTGGAAGAGCCGCGGGTTGACAGGAGGCAACAGCCTGTGTGTGCCCTTTCAGTCAGCACGACAAAAACACTTCAGTGCGAGGACTATCTCCTGGGCAGGCTCTGCTTTACACTTCATTTTTACATTTACACAGCTGTAAAGAGCGTCCCAGTCCATGGGGATAAGGCACTAGGACGCATCTATGAAGCAGGACTTGCTAGGTAGCTTTCTCACTAATGAGTTCAGAAAGAAAGGGATATTAGAAGGAGAATTACTTTATGAGGTACTCCTTGTAGATTAATTTTACACTTTAATTATTCATGGATTCAACTGTGTATATAGCAGCATTTTCTTAACTTTTTTTTTTAATGTTAGTTCTTTGATAGCAATTAGCAAATTTTTTATAGCAAAAAACTCTGAGAACCCGAATAAAGCCCTGTTGACGGTAGTGTTTAGAACAGAGATCCATGGGGAGAGAGCAGGCCTGGTCAGGTCTTTTTAGAAGTACTATAAGAGATTAGCCATCCCAGGTCCTAAAAGGGTTAACTTAACAATACATATTTTTCTGTGGAGTATTCATAACGGAAGAGGTCGACGACAGTACAACCCACTTTTAACTTAACGGTGCCTGTACCCTGAGCAAATCTCCTCAAAGTTGGTAGGACATTTAGCACGTTCCCGTCGAAATCCATTCTTCACAGGAAATTTTCTTAATTCTGTCGTGCTCAGCATGGAATTCTGGAGTTTAATTTCCTCTCTCCAAACAAAAATGAAACAGTCTAGTGACGACCGTTAAGAGTCAGAACCTCTTACAGCAAGTTGCAGTGAAGTAAGAAGACTCAGAGGCACAGAGAGCAAGGACTGCTTCCTGCACAAGGAAACTTGTGCCCAAACGCCTTCCTCAGCCAAAAAGCATGCTGAGCTGATGAGGCCAGAGGGTGCGAAAATGCACAGCCTACTGAGCTCAACATTGCTCACTTGGCTGGAGGTTATTTCCGTGTCAGAAAGGCTGCAGTCCTGTGGCCTGGACAGCAACAAGCAGTGCCAATAGCAATTGGTAACCTTAACAAAACCAAATAGCGTCATCATCCTTAAAAGGTGACTCGACGAGGTCTTCACTTCACAGGTTACAACTTAAGAGTGAGGGCTTCTCTTCTCCGAGATCGTCACGTGCTCTTGTCTGAAGGTCCTTCCCAGCAGTCCCCAGCTCCATGGGACACCCCCTCAAGGGGTGTCAGCAGACCCAGAACCCCAGCTCCTGTCTGCAGTGCCATTAGTCCATCGCTCTCCACCTCAGTCTCTGGACTGGTAGAAGAGGATGTATCCGGATTCGGAGTTTTTGGAAATGTCAGATGTTAAACCATAGAACTCCTCTATCGCTTGAGCGTCTATTTTCTGAAGCGGGGGGAAAAAAAAGAGAAACATGAGTTACAAGGTAATACTGTATAGATTTATATTACAGAAGTGTTCCTCATGATTAAAGTAAATACATATTCATCCAGGCGTGTGCAACGTCTAAGGATGCAAAAGAGTTTCTCCAAAATGACAGCTTTGTGAAATTACCAGTACTAGAGTATACAGTAAAAGTACCAGGTGCTTTAAGAGCCAGTATGCGTCAAGGGGGGCAATGTGATCCCCTTGAGAGCTGAACAAGCTGTGAGGATCCCCTCTCTCAGGATAGTTGTAGTTTTAAAAAGTGTCATATTCCCTGGGACAGTACTGTCACCTAATTGGGAATTAAAAATAGATATGGACTCCGATGTAATGCCGGAGTCCATTCTACCAGCAGAGAGTTTGATAACCGGACCTGCTTCCTTCTCTTTTTAGTCACACTCTAGGAGTGTCTAGATGTTCTTGACCCCATGAATCGCAAAACTGAGAGTGTGAGACAGGAGTATAGGCAGGACTTGAGGAGGTGAGCAGCTCAATCCGACAAGACACAACACAGACGGGCAGTCAGTCATTACGTTTCCATGAAGGCTAACACGCTGCTGTTAGAATACTGGAATGTGAAGCAGAGTCATAAAAACACATCATTGAGAATATAAACAGCTACATTGTGAATACGAGAATTCCTAAAAAAAAAAAGGTATTGAACATAAGAATATATTGGGGTTTTTTTTCAAAATACTTGTCACCATGTCAACTTTCCACGGGAATATTTGGGGGATTTGATGCTGGAATTCATCCTTTGTATTAATCAAAAGAGCCGATCAGGAACAATGTAAACAGATGCTTTCTGTCCAAGTGAGTATTTTGTAGGCATATAAAAGGTTAACAAGGAAAGGTGCCAGCTCAGGGATCCTTCAGAAGAGGCTGGCACACAAAAAACTTCTTCCGCACAAAAGACTTGCTGTTAAAAAAACAGCAGTAAAGAAAACTGATGTTGTCAAATTTAAATGTAAAGGCTAAACAGTTCATATGGTGCATGCCCGGCAACCATTCTGTCTGAATTCCACACTAGTGCCTTCAAATTCATAGAAAAGCATTTCCTCTGTCAGGTGATACACAGATCTGAAAAGAGCACATTCGTGTGCATAAGGTAATGAAACCGAACATTACTGCTACTACTATTGACTAAGATGTTGGATTCAGATTGGATAATTGAAAACAGTGTTAAAGCAAGTCTGGCCTTTCCATTTTAATGTGGCATGTATCTTTGGCATATATTCTTTAATCAAAATTAAGAGGGAGATATGATAATTCAATCCCAGTAGAGAACCCATTTTATTTGATCATGAAACAGCCTAATTAGCGAGCAACAGGGAAATTGGTGAGCCAGTTAAAAGATGCCAATTCTAAAGAAGACAACACAGAGCTTTAAAAGCCAAGTGTTGAATTTTTCTTTTTTACATCAGCACAGACTGGAAATTTAATGCTACCCAGAGCACATTTTATACCCCAGATCTTAAAGACTTGAAAGTTGACACACATTATTTTTCCTTCAGTTCTCTAGAACATTATCTCTGAATTAGAAAAAAATAAAGCCTTTTAAACTAGAAGACTTACAATCACAGCTAGGAAATCACTGATAGCATGAAATTAAAACAAAACAAGTCTAGTTGTCACTGTCAAAGCCAGAAATACTATACTTAAGTACAATTGCACTTGAGTATTTAAGCAAAATTGTATAGTTAACAAAAATGGATTCCACAAAATAACATCTTTGCACACTGCGCCCTAAATCAAAGATCTTCAACAGAGCAAAGAAGTCTCTCCAGGGTAGTGATCAGCACTCTTACACACAGAAATCTCTGAAAAGGTTATAGTTTTCAGGTGATTTTTACATATTCCTAGCCCTGTCATACAATTCACTTGCTGACATGTCAGAAGACTCAGGGCTGCTCTTTTTAGTTCCTGACCTGCCACAATACACAGGCCTGATTTTTGAAGCTGAAGACAAGCAAATTCGGAAAAAAAAAAGAGGAATAGCCCTTTCACAAACCTTTCCTTTAAATAAGCGCATATAATCCCAAGGGTTTTAGCACATCTTAAAATAAGATAGGCTTTCCCAGAGAAAAAGGGTCCCAGCAGGATGTGAGATCCATGTGCCGTTCTGCTGTTCAATCCTAATCCGCTCAAAGCTCCTTTCCCATGAAGTTCACTGACCACCCCCCGATCTCTCAAATCCTGTAATCGCCTGAGGGCTCCTACCGTACCGACAGCTACAACAGTGGGACTCTCTCCGTTTTCTATTACTTCCGACTATCAACGCAACTGGATTTCAGGGCCTCCATGGCCTGGTCTTTATGAAGCACCAGAGGAAACCTGTGTTGCACAGTACATGAGATCACATATAGCTGCAGGGCTCCGACTACTGTATTTATCTCTCTGTGAAGCAGGCAAGTAAGAGATCTGGAACGGGAACAGGCATCTTTTGACCTTTTGATACGACGGTCATTCAAGATGGTGCTAAAAACGGAGTTCAATTACCTTTCCGGAAAAGGAAGGTGTAAGTTTGTGCCATGCCAGGACTGAGTGTACGCTGCCTGTGGAATTTTCAGGCCTCTATCTGCAGTGCTACTTCAGCACTGTACCAGCTCTCTTGTACTATGTGCAGGCTGTCATTGAAGGTTACCCACTATCGGCTTACACCATTTCCCTTGAGCATCCTGAATACAATTACTTCAAACAAGACGGGCATTTGACTGTGCCCATTTTTTTTAAAAAAGTAATCTTTTCAGCTAGATTTATGGTTTTATCCCCCTACTCCCTGTAACTGAGTCAAGGACATTTCCATCTCTTTGTACTGTTGAATTTAGTACAACACAAGCAGGCAAGTCCACCCCAAACTAGACTGAGAAAGAATAAAGCTAAGATTTTAATCCCAGTATCTGTAATTCTAGGAATCAGGAATAAAACACCTCTGGCCTCAAAAATGCAGGTCTTTTTAAAGCCCTCCTCTATTGATATGCTTCTCTTTCTTGCTAAGGGGTAAGAAACCACAGAGTTGCTCTCCAATGACCCCCCCCCCCCACCTTCTGTGAAATGTCAGATAACGAAGAAAGACAAGAGGCTGGGACATACCTCTACAATGTCATCATCGAACAGCAGCCAGAACCCATGGCTCTTCACAATGGTGATGTAGTGTCCTCGATTGGGCCCACTGCAGAGGCAGAGGACAGTAAGTTGTAAACACCAAAGAAAACACTTGCGAATTCGATCCCATCAACAGAGACAACCACAAAACTCAAATATACTGCAGATGACATTTTAACTCCATGGCAAAATAAATTAAAACTGCCTTCTGAAGGCATTACATTTCTAGGTATTATGGTCTGTAAATTTTAAGTTAAGGTTTTAGCAAAAATTTAAGATAAAACTTTCTTACAATTGAGAATAAACCAGATTTAGAATAAAATGAAAACCTTTTTGGGACATATAAAAATATTAAACATGGCTCTTCTGACATACATACTGTCTGCTATTCCTCTGTACGTACAGCAGCTCTCATTATGTTGGTACCACAGATCACATTAACACAGACTGCTGTTTCTACAACCTGATACAGTAAATGTTCCCCTTTGGGGCCTGCTTCATTAAAATACCTCTTTGTATACAGTAAATTCTATTAAAAACACCATCCACTCCTTAGCCATGAACACAATCTCTAAAAATAAACAACTTTGCAGATCACTGGCAAAAGGCTGCCTCTGAATTTCAAAATACGGAATAATCCTATTACCGTGGAATTATCCTATAATCCTCCAGCAGGTGAAGAAATGAATAATACATCACTAAAAAGGACTTGCAAAAAAAAAAAATCCCAATTCACAGATTTTGGATCTCATTCATTTTCATATTCTACTGTTTCTGTAGCAAACTTGCTTTCTGGGAAATCATGAGACTGCAGGAGCAACGGTGGTTTTGAGGCGATCAAGCAGAGGAAAGGGTGAACTGTGCTTCTCGGTAAAGCGGATGAAAAAGGGGTCTCCGCTTGGCCCCTGTGCCCACCTGCCGCAGTGCACCACCACCGCCACCAGGTCGTACATGCGATCGGGGTTGGTGGCGTCGCCGGAGGTGTTGAAGAGCCGCAGCTCCAGGGGGAAGACGACGCGGTAGGACAGCTTGGTGTAGCGGTGCAGCTGGTCCATGTACTTGAACCTCTTGAGGTGCAGAGCCAGGATCATGGGCAGCTTCTTCACTCTCATCCTACGCAAAAACACACAAGACAGAGCTCTGCGGCTTCAGGGAAAGGCCTCCGAATCTATTCCTCTTTCCACCGTGTGACATTCCCGGGAAGAAACCAGTAGTTCCCGGGCTGAGGACGGGGCAAGGCAAGCTATGCATCTTAAATGGCACAAGACCTGTGGAAAGCGGTTTACTGAGGCAGTGAAGAAACAAACCCTGCTAATTAAGAAAATAAACAAAACAAGTCCCTTTTGGGGGACTAATACCAGACCCTGTCACTTGTGAAGAGAGAACCTGAGCTGCCCTGCCAAGACTGCTTCACAACACAAAGCACGAGCAATCAAAATAAATCCAGGCATCAAAAACATACATACAGGAATAAACCAAACAAACCAAATCACAATTTTTGTCCAGTGACATGCCTGCAGCCCAGACTCTGTTGGCTGAACATAAGCCATTTGATCTAACGTGCTTTGAGAAAACACCGTACCAGTTTGTACAGCACCAACGATGGAGCGGGAATGCACTGTTCTAATCACTCTTGTGCAGTAGATCAGACTTCACTGAGGTTTTGGAAACGACACAAACACAAATCTGGCTTTGCACTGGTCTCAGGAAAGAAAGGGCTTTACTGAAACAGTCTGACGTGAAATTGTGCTGATCAGAATGGAATTTCAATTATAACAAAGCCATAGTCACATGTTAAGGTTAAAGAGTTTCTTACATCCTAAAGAAAAGGATGGACGTCGCACTGCATTAAAGACTTCCACTTAAAGCATTCTTAGTTTTCAGCAGTTCGAATTTTTAGGCATCAAGACAAATTAATGTTGCTGAAGGCTGAATGTTGTGCCGTCCAGTACGCAGTGTAATGAATACAGCTTGAATTACTGCATGCACATGCAGGCCAAACAAAAAACTTGGGGTGGCCATTAGACTCCAGAAAACTGGATACCTTGACTCATCAAAACGTCTTTACTGATCAATCACTGTTAATTAGATTTAATCATATGAGCAATGCACTAAATGAAACAGTTTACAAACTGAACTGCATTGCTACTTTTCTCTGTGTTAGAATTTACAGGCTGCCTTTTGTCTGCTGAATAGTAAACTACTGCTCCAGCCTCTCCAGTCACTGAAATAAAAATTAAGAAATATGAAATATTAAAGAAACGTGAAGTGAAGAAAAGTACTAATAGTGACAGTGATTAAGCTTATTTGGTTTTCTTTGTAGTCATTATTGTCGGGATTCTCCCTGTAATTAATCCATTTAACATCAGGCGTAATGCTTACTGCTTTCAGTCTTGGAGAAATCCCCTTTTGTCTGGAGGGGTCTGGTTTGCCTGGAGACCCTAGCAACTGTGCGGCCCTTTCTCCGTAGTAACGGTACACGCGCAGTAGTACTAAGTGCCACGTGGAGACCAGCTGACTGGTGACTTTAGGACTGAGAGGGTACCATAAACAACAGGGCTTCTCTGAAGCATCTCCTGGCTTTTTAAAAAAAGAACAGCAAGTAAGAGTGATTGGCAATGACAAGGTGTTTTTACAGTGCCCAATACCTTTTGCAATTGCAGATGGAGTGAAAAGGTGGACTAAGAAACAGTTTTAGGGCAGTTTTATCTTATATGCCAATGCTAACCAGAAGCCACTGGAGTCACACCAGCAGGGAAACCCCCCCACCCTCACACAAGGCTGTGGCAGAAATCAAAAATCAACTGTTCTGGGAGCTGACCTCTTCTGTGCTTCCTGTTTGCTCCGACACTGCTCACAGTAGTACTTGTACTCGCTGCACAGGGTTTCCGTGTTGCTGAATCCCCTGAAGACAAAGAGAGAGGGGGAAAAAAACAACAATTTAAAAACTAACCTACACCAGCGCACAGGTGCCTGAACAGTGGGTCTCAGCTCACCTCAGACAGTGGGTTATGGAGGTGTTTTGTTCCACATCCACAGAGAGATCAAGGAAATCCTCATCTTTGCTGCTGACCTGTGAAACGAAAGAATAGCTTGTGATAAAAAGTACCGTATCATGCCAATATTAAAAATTCAGATAAAGACGCTGAAATACCACTGAAGGACAAGAGCTGGTTTGTTTTAGAAGAGCCACAGAGGAGCAGGTTATTCGTGTCAGCCTGAATGCAGTACCTTGCAGTTTTTAAACATCATTTACAAATGATACATATCTTTTTCCAGTCAGCATTTTTGTGGCAAACTCTCATGTTCAAACAGAACATTTTTAAAGACAAAATGAGTTAGTCGGCAGCATATGGTTTTCAGAAAAGCAAAAACCTAAGAACGATGGAAAAAGATGCGTATCATTTGCAATCCAGCAACAACTGAAAACTTTTACAGGGTCAGAAAACTTTTGCAAGGCGCCGCATTTAAAGACAATCCTTTTTAACTACTTTGCTTGTTGAAATAATTCCAGGATTACTTGGATCCTGTCAACCTGCACACCTAAAATCCCCAAAGGACACAAACTGTTCACACCTTACCTACAGATCAGCTGCCAAACTGACCCAAGGTCAGAGAGACGGGTGATCTCAGGGTTAAGCTACTAAACCTGCCCTCCGACACCTCTGCAAAACCGTTCCTTCCTACTTCCTACTGCAATATTCAAGCCTTTGCCTGCTTGAAGGGTGGGGACCTCTCTCTCTCTCACCGCTTCGCAGTTGAGGCAGCGGGTCTCGTTGGTCAGCGTGCCCTGGAAGATCTCGTGGACCCAGGTCTGCTCCGGCTTGTCAGCCTCCTCGCTGCCCACGCTGCCGTTCTGCAGCTGCCCGTTCTGCTTCTCCTGCTTCCGCTCCTCCTGCAGCAGGTCCGCGATGGTGTTCAGCAGGTAATTGAGGAACTCGTGGGCGTCCTGCTGCATGTAGTTGTCGAACAGCTCTGGTGGGACCAGCCAGACGCGCGCCCAAGAGACACCAACGAGAAACAACACAGTCAGAGCCGGGGAATGCCTTCTGAAGGGAGGGTGGAAAATGGTGGATTTCAGAAAGGGATCTGGATGATTAAGGCACAAATCGAAACCAGATTTGATCAGATTTCTGCTGAGGTGGGTTTGCTTGCAGGCTTCGCTGTTTAGTACTCTACAAGCTCATGCAATTATGGTCTTCCCTGTAGGACACTTATTAATATGTACAACTACAAAGGATCACAAAAACAACACTGTAGAAGGGTATACAGTGCTCTCTATGCACTAAGATAAGGTGGTAGCCTTGATAAAGAATGGGAGAAAGGTTATCGACAAGATGAAGTCGTTCAGCCCTTGTAACTCGTTTACTAGTTCGTAGCTCACTGATCCAAGGCTCCAGGTGTTTCTTGAAAGAAGCCAGAGAGCAGCAGCTTCCACGACATGGCTGAGCAGCTTGTTCCAGCCTCCCACAACACTTTGCATAAAGGACTGCTGCCCATATTTGCAATTTTCCTAATTTCTTCTTTCAATATTCATAAAAGGGATATTTCACCAATATTCTGGTGAAAGGGATGGGATGAAACACGTTTTTGTTGAACTGTTCTTCGATCCAAAGGTATTTATCCTTATTTTTATGGCCTGTCGCACTACCCGACATCAACAAACAAGAAAAGTTTTAGCCCTTGTGTTTGTTCTCATTTGCGCACTGCAGATCTCCGTTTGCCATGATTCAGAAATGTGCAAAGTGCTTTTTTTTTTTTGCTGAGGATGCAGTAGGTTGAAGTCGCATGCAGTACTGAGATGTCTACCCTCGACAGCTTGAAAAGACACTGCAGAGAGACCTGGCTCAAAATGGAAAAGGCTGAAAGGCTCAAGTGGAACGGGATGTGGAATGAGAAAGAGGAGAAAAATCTTCTGTATTTTTTTTCAGGGGGCGGCACGGTAAATACTAGAAAAGCACACGTACAACACTACTGCAATGCATTACGAAGTACATTTCCAAAGACTAAAAAAAGTCTTCTCTCTGGATGCGATTACAGAATTATCTCACATTAAAAAGGCCTCTTGCAAATTCAGCCTCAGGATTCCACCAAAAGGAGAGAACAACAGAGGCAGGAACTTCAAGTATGTCTTGAATGTAAAAAGCAACCACCTTTTAATAATGATATTAACATATAATATAATATTAATAATATAATTAGAATAATAATATCTTCTTTTCCCACTTGAGCCAATTGGTCTTCAGGCTGCACTACAATCCACTAACAGAAAAATGTGTGCTTCCTGGTTTTACACTTAGAAGAGATATATTGAAACTTAAAATTGAATTTTTATTGCAAAAGGGGGCAGAAGGTTTGAGTGCTGACACTTCTTGGCTTTCAGGCACAGCACAAAGTCTGTTCACCCAAACAATGTCTCGGGGTTTGGAAAAGTTCCACAGGAAAAATATTGGTTACAAGTTTTCAGGGGCGCCCCGGAATATCGCTGAGTCGTTTGAAACAGGGAAACTGCTGAGTACTGACCTCCCACTAAAGAACACAGAAATAAACACGACAGCTCAGTGGGATTTATGACTATTCTCCAGAACCTCCTCTCTGGTGCAGTACATCTCGTGCACCTCGGAGCTTCTCTTTCGCCAGGGCAACAATTGAAAGGATCTTCTCGACTCCCAAAGGTAGCCCAAAACTAGATCTGGCAACCCATTACATATATGTCAGCAAAAGAATGAAGTCTGAAAATGATCAAATTGAATGAAAACCCTCTCAAATCCCAGTTTCTTTTTCCCCAAGTAATTCGTTAGCAGAAAACAAAGTCATATGTCCCAGTGAAATGATAAGCGGAAAACACAGCAAGCTATTTAAGGCAGTGGGGAATAGATACGATTGGCACCGCTCTCCAGAAACTACTTTGGAATAACACGCTCCTTAATTCACCGATTTCCAAATCAAATTTGGGTTAATTAGCTACCCTGGCAGGAGAGCGGTACCAAAATTTTGCGAGTGGCGAACAATGCAAACAACCCTCAGCTGTTACCGAAGGACCAGTGAGAGAAAAAGCTGTCTTTGCTTGTGCTCTGTGGCAGTGCAGAACAGAAGATAAGCATTGCAGCTGCGTGACATTTAAAAACCTGATCCTTCTTACTGGACATCCTGTGCGTAATTACGACCTATTTTTTTGGTTATTACCACATCACCTGAAGCTCAGTTTTGCAGTTCTGTTGGAGTTTATCAGTGCGTGAAAAGGTATCGGTGCTTGTGTGACACCCAAAGAAGGCTCCACAGCCAAAACGTTGTGTTTTCTGCCTTCTCTTTTCAGCATGGAATAAACCTTTACTTGTTCCTTTGCAGCCTAAGCATGCTGACGCAGCTACCCACCTGAACTGTATCAGTGCATGTCAGATAATTCGTTTAATTGGGTCTTTTGGGAGATGCATTGCCAAAGAATACCCTCTAAGATTTTTAAATCATCCCAGTTTCTTCTTCCAAGTGTTCACTTGGGGGGGGGGGGTCAGGTGTGGCACTAAAATGAAAAGAAAGGAAGCCCCATTGTGGGTCACCAGTCACATCGAGCACTTAAGCATGTGTGCGCTTCAGCTGTTTCAATTACAGCAGCACCTCACTTTAATGGGCCCACAAAGGAGTCAAGTCCTCCATTTCTGGCCTTCACCCAAGTCAAGATTCGTTTTCTATGCAGATGTAAGGGGAGTAAATCCCTTCTGGACACTGACTGGGGTGAGAAAAGGAAGCGTGTTAATCTGAGTGCGAGTCAGAAACTAGAACTGTAAGGAAATCTGAACCTGATGCATCTATTGTTCTCGTGAAAGGAGTGTAGTGTAAAGAAATTGCCTGATATAAAAACTACAAAGAGAAGAGAAGCTCTTCATTTATCAAAACCTACCAGCTTGATGGTAAACAGTGTTCATTGTTTTACATAGTTTACTATTCTTTTGAAAAATCTGCTTATTGTTATTATAACAACATAAACTGTTATGTAATTGTAATGCTGTTCTCCCTTATTATTAACCGTTTTTTATTGCGCGAGAGGGTTTTCACCTGTAATGTATGTTTCCACATACATATGCTTGCATTTCTAAAGACTTTGGACTCCCACCCAAAGAAACCAGCAATTAACAGGCAGCACCACCACCCTGTTTAACTCTTTAATCTAGATGTAACTGTATACACAACAAAAACTTCTCAATGCTGTCAGAAAATAGGTGCCTGAAGCTGGTTAATGTGATACTTAAGTCATTATACAAAAACTAAAAACCAAAACACTCCTAGAGAAATAGTTGCTTTAAAGTTTACATAAATTTAAAGTGATTGAAAATGTACACAGAAGTCAGTCTAGAGACACTAATATCCCCTACCCTGGCAAAATGAACTGTGGAACTATTCCATATTAGGAACTAAAGCCCACCTCAAAATATTTCCTGAAGCGCAACAGTCTGGGGGAATTGCTGGGAAAGGGTTTCCTAAAATCAGATCATCCGAGAAGTGAACTGCATGCTTTATTTGAGCTCTGCGTTTCTGCTTGGCTAGCGTTGCTATAGCAACAGCTCAGGGCCAAAACACAGGCCTGCAGGCCTGGCAGGCCTCACGTGACAGGGGAGATGTTTTCCCGGGGGCAGGGCAAAGCTGGGGCACCCCTGTTCTGCCTCCCAGCCTGCCGGTGAGTTTTCACTTCCCCTTCCCTTCCCCCCACACGCTGAGCTTTGCTCAGCAACCTGTGCTATTCACCAGAGGGAGCGTTTTTCAAAACAGGACGTGCCGATACCTTCAATCTGGTTAAATCTGTGTTTTTTGGAACTCCATTCTCTTGAGCCCCAAGCTTCAATAGCGTTTTGGTTTTCTTAGGGAAATTAGCGGCATGCCAAGTATACCTGTGATTTTTATTCTGAACCTTTTAAGGGTTGTTAATGTTGTCAGAAGTTTTCAGATTTTGGCAAACACAAGAAACTTCTAGAGCTGATCTCCAGAGATACACAATTTCTCAGACAAATGTGTTTTTTAAAACATTATATTCATTATCGGTCATTTTCTCCAAACGACAGAAAATGTGACTTGATCTTCACCTCTAAAACCTATAAAATCTAACACTTCAATTTAATTATTTCCTGTTTTACTTGGAAATTCCTGAGAAGATGCCACCAGTGAAATTACAAAGGGGCAGGAAGAACTGAAGAAGGTGCCCTCTAATGAGAGCTTTCTGGGCAAGATCTTTACTTTTGCTAAAACTTTGCACTCATAAATAGCAGTTTGAACCTCACAGTAGCACACCACCTTCTCAAAATGGGAGAACTCTTCAGAGTCCTGTCTGTGCCAGAACATAATTTACATGTCTTGCATGTCTACAGAAATCCCCGGAAACCCATGAAAAGCACAGTTTTGCACACTGAAAGGCTACAACTCAGTTAAGTAGGTCACTACAAGCTACTCTACAACTGTCTTAGGATGTAATTAGATTTTACTGATCTGTAAATGGCACACTAGTACATAGTCAACTGGTCTTGTGCTCTGATTTCTGATAACATAGGAGGAGAATTACTGTTTCTGTTCCACTGGGGATAACACTGAAAATGAGCTGCAAATAGCAACGTACCCTAAAGTCCAGACAGTTTTTTAGCTTCTTTGTTAATGCTGGCGTTTAACAAAAATGTACAGCCTGGATCTTTCCTCGCTACAACAAGCCTGCTAATCCAATAAACCAGAAGCTCTTATCCCAGTTTGGATCCTTGCCCTCAGAGGTTTAAGAAAAAATACTTTGCCGTTTAATTTGTGGCTACTTATTCATGACAGCATGACAAAGGACACAAGTGGCAAAACTTTCCACACACAGTAGCCAATGCAGAGCTGATCTCAAAGCCAGGACTACAAGATAATTCCTAAAGACACAGATTAAATCAAAGGTCCCCGGGCAGGAACCCAGAAAACTCCAAGGAGAGTAAATAGAGGAAGTCAAAATCCTAAGAGGCCTGATGGAGTCAGTCCAGCCTATTTAGTTCAAAATCAACAAGGGCACTGAAACCAAAAGAAGCCAACAGAGATCAGATTCTGGACTTGGAACAGATGTACTGCCTATGCGGAGACACAGATGTGTGTCTCTAACACACCATCATGTCATGGTTCTGATTTTCCATCATGGGCAATCCTATAAAAAATCTCAGATTACGCTCCAAGATCAATAACCTATTGGCCACCTGATGAAAGAGGTGTGTCAATCGGCTATTTCCCGTCTGTTTCCTTTCTAATGCTACACTATTACCACCACAGCTTTAGCAATAAAATAGATAGCACTGAAAAATGTTTCTTTGCAAACAGGAAAGGCATGTCAGATTATTTGAGACAGAGCGTTTTATACCCAGTGGACATGTGACTGTCCTGCTCCTCCTCCTACGGATGCCACTGTATGTACACTGTGAACCCCAAGAGCACAGGATATCTTGAAACACCAGAGAGGCTCGGTCAGTAAAGGACGCAATAGGAGAGGCTCCCTTACCATTCTCCTTCCTCAGCCTGGAGATGAACTTCTTGGGAGGGATGACCCCCACCTTTTTCTTCTGCGTGGCGATGCTGTTGAAGAGGTCGGACAGGCAGGTCAGGAGGCTCTCCTTCTTCCGGGGCTGGATCTTGTAGGCCAGCACTTTTTCCCGAAAAGGCCGACAGAAGTAAAGTGCTTGCAGGACCGAGTTGCAGTAGCAAGTGTTGCCAAACTGCACAAACACAAGGGAAAAGGAAATCATTCAAGTCGCACAAAATACACCATCCTGCCAAAAAGCCTTACAGAATCCCATACAGGCCAACCGAGGGAAAACAACAATATTGAAATCTGTGATTGTGATACTATGAGATTGCTTAGTACTGTACACTGATGAGGACATTTTCCAAGAGCTATGAAAACCCTTATTTTGCTAGTAAAGCAGGCACGATTGCTTAATGAATGTGTATGTGCTTGGGGTACCTTCATTTTAAATACACTGGGTTCTCTGACCCAATTTCTAATTATTGTATATTGTATATAACTGCATACTTACAAATTTACTTACTACTTTGACGTTTTAATCCACAGTGATTTACAAGGGTACTGTAGAAGTGCATCATCTGAGATTTGAACCCATTACCTTGACTCCAGAGCCCTGACTACTGCTCCACACTGTGCCGTAGATATAACCAGCAGCTCAAATCTGTTCTCTGGTGTGTATTTACCGAAGCCAGTTTAGTGAGACAGTTGGAAGGGATATGGCACAAGTTCCCATACTGCAGCCTTCCGTATCACATTCCAGCAGATAGTTATGGAATTCAGTCGCTCAGCCCAAAACACTGCAACTTCATTTTACAGCAGGTCATGAACTTGCGTCTAAAAATAACCAAGCTACTGAACTGTATAGTTACCATGCTGTGGTTGGCCTTTTTAACCAGACAGTTATACTCTTCTGGCAAAGACACTGGAGTCTAAAGGTAGGGTGGAGAAACTGATTAAAAATGAAGAAATGTCCGTTCAAAGTTCTGCTATACAGCACATAAAACCATCGTCATCTATACTCCAGTACAATTGCATGGCTGTAATTACCCTTTTAAAAAGAATGAACCACACAATAATGCAAAACACTTACATATGCACTTCTCATTGATATTTAAAAAAACGTTGTTTTTTTTAAAAGAAAGTTTCTTAAAATCAGCTAATTAAAAGGGAATTTAGTAAACAAGACGTGACTGAACTCTGGCCGACCACTTTTAATCCAAGAATGTGGAGTAGTTTACAATAAGATGCAAGATACAAGGCAAAGATGGTACTTTTTAAACTTAAAAAGGAAAGTAAAAAAAAAGTACAAGATGAACAAAGAATTTCGCAAACTGGAAGCCAAGAAAAATGGTAAAACAGAGATTTATACCATTCAGGGGAAACAAAATCATGAAGGAGAAGTAAAATTTCACAAAATCAGCAATTTGTCCTGAGATCATGCAGCCTCTTCTCTTTAAAGACTGAGATAGAGATATATTGAAGGCACTGAAAATCAGTATGGATATTTCTCAACCCCAGTTAACAACAATTTTAGTTATCCCTGACCCCTCTTTTAATTTTTTTTTTCAACCCAAGATTAATCTATAAATCTACAATTATCTTAATCAAGCCTTAGCATTACATCCGATTTGGACAACTATTTGAGCCGTACTTATCCCATTGACATTCCCTCTGTACCAAGTTTTGGATTTTGAATTTAGTCTAGTTGATTCAGATCAATTTACAAAAATTAACCACTGTAAAACATCTTCTTTTGCCTAGATCCCATCCCTACCTCTTTATTGAATGGCTGCCTGCCAGACATCTGCCCTTAAATTGTCAATATTATCAACAGTCCTCTTTCCTTGAGTCTGGTCCCTAATGCTTTGAAGACTGCATCAATCATTAATTTTACATTTACAATTTCGACCTAAGGTTTAAGAATGTGTGGTTGCACATCAAGTACAGGCTCACATGAGAGCTAATGATTTTTTTAACCATTCCAGTCCAGTTTTCGCACTAATCATAGCACTGAGATTGCTCTTGTCTGGGTTGTGAATGATTTGCCTGCTGCATTTGACTCTCTCTATAAGTACTCCTATGCTTGTTGATCTGCGTGTGTCTTTTAATATTGCAAATCATTCTGTGGTGCTCAAAGGCTTGCCAACATTTTTGTCTATCAATGGTAGTAGCTTTAACTGGTTCTGGTCTTTTCTGGTCAGAAAGTCTTTTGTTTCCCTTGTTCCTCATGATTCCCCCACGGCCTCAGTCAATCCTGGTGTGCCACAAGAGTCAGTCTTGGGCCCTCTGCATTTCACTTATATGCTTCCTATCTGTCAGATTATATGCAAACATGATCTTCAGTTTCACAGATATGCAGATGACACTCAGATTTACATTAAAACATTTCCCCCCTCTGACCTCCTGCCTCCTTCACTTATCATTTATCTGCATGATATCAAGATCTGGTCGATATCGAATTCCTTGAAGTTAAATAGTGACAGAAAATAAATTGTACTAGTGGGTAGCAAATGTCAGTTGAAAAAGCCGGACAGATTGACAGTAATGAAGCAAAGGCTTCTACGTTCAATCACTAGCTGCAGTCAGAAATCTGGGAGTCAAACGTGATCTGCTGTCTTTTGAGTCCCAGGATGACAATTTTGACATCTCCCCCCCCCCCACTTAAGGAAAATACCGCCGGTATTAGGTCGTTTCTATGAGTGTCCGATGCTGAATGTTTGAGTCATGCATTTATACAGTAACATCAAGGCTTGATTTCTGCTACTTTTTGCTCTATGGGCTCCCCAACACAGTAAGTAAGTTGCAATATGTCCAAGACTCTGCAGCTAGTCTTCTAACACCATCACACCAGACCCATGTGGCAGCATATCACTTCCACATTTAAATCTCTACACTGGATGTTTCTAAAGTCATGTAAGACCTTAGTACCGACTTGCAAGGCTGTTAATAACCTGGCTCCCTCCCACTCAGCTGAGGCTGGTCCTTTGCTTACTGTACTCTGGACTAAATCTCAGACTTTAGGTGACTGTGGTTTTTCTGTTGCTGCTCTGTTGTTGTTGTTGAATGCCCTTCCTCCGACTCTCAGAGAGACAAATTATTTTACCCTGAACTTAAAACGCACCTTTTTACTATTGGTACCGAAACCAAATTTTGCCCTTGCAATGTATTTAAAGCAATTTGTTTTAAATAGCAAACATTGTGTATTTGAATATTATTATTCTTCAAACTCACCAGTAACATTAACAAACACCCAAGAGAAGTAAATCAAACAGCAGACTATTTTTGGTGCCTCAGAGTGTCATGCTTTGTACTATATGATGACTTTATACATATTCTAACGGAATCACAAAGTCTCCAGAGTTTCCTTCCAAGGCTCTCCCTGATGTACAAATTAGCCAACAAGAGATTAGTGTTAATTAGGAGCTCTGGAACACCCTAATCTACTTACTGCGCAATCTCTCTTTCAAAAACAATCAGCTTTTAATTCTCACATCGACTTCTACATACATACATTTCCATAGGACTGCAAAAAAAAAAGAATGAAACCTTCTGAAGATGCAAGCAGTCAGGTCTGACTGGGATGCTCATCTAGTGGAAACAGAACACCTCACACTACTGAAATTTCGCTACATCCAAGTCAGGAGACTGCAGGAGTGAGAAACACTTGGGAAAGAGAATATGACTCATCCCGGCAGATGCTTCCAGAAACTCCTTGTCAGAATCTTCAGACACGCAGTTAGTGGTTCTAGAACACACGGCCCCCCACACTGACAGAACACCTCACAGATGCCAAGGAGCACTCTGACAGAGACAGCAGCAGTGCAAATGAAGATAAATTCATCTAAACAGTTGCTGTTAAGACTAGTTTTTTCTTAAGTTCCCTGCACCATACTGATGGGAGTTTTTTTGCCTGAGTTCCAAAATGCCCCAATGAACCTAATTTGTTGTTGCTCACAACAAGCATCCTGATATAACATATCAAATTATACATTTCCTGGGGCAGCATGATGGCCCAGTGCTTATCATTGCTGCCTCGAAGACCTGAGGTCCTATCTGCATGGAGTTTGCATGTTCTCACACTGTTTGCATGGGTTTCCTTCAGGTGCTCCAGTTTCCACTCACAGTCCAAAAACATACTGGTAGGTTAATTGGCTTCTGGGAAAAATCAGCCCTGGTATGAGTGTGTGCATGTCTGTGCATCCACTTGTACCCATTGCTTGCTGGGATAGGCTCCGTCCCCGTCCCTGTCCCCCCCCAGCCCTGTGGGTAAATCGGTTAAAAAAATGGACAGAAGTATTTTTACCTGGGAGTTCAGCGCACTTTCTTAGACAGCCATGTTTTTTTTCCACTGACAAGCATCAACCAGAACAAACAAAGCAGATACAATACACATCAGCCGTGTCCTTGCCCAGGGCCTTAAGACAAATCCACACGACAGTGACTGATTGGGAGTGTAGAGGGCACTTACATTGACCAAGCCGAAGTAGTGCTCATTTACGGGGAACTGTTCCGGTCCAATCTCTTTCTCCAAAGCTGAGGCATTGGCGCCCTGGAAGAGACAGAAAGACAGCTTCCTTTATCTTAAAGGCCCTTAGAGACACATCACTGCATGAACCTGACTCCCTCGGACCCTCTGGGCACAGTGCTCACGGGACTCAGACATGACCGTCAGCTTTGCTCAGGACCTGCGGATCAGGTTTTTCTTCTCAACCTGAGCGGTTTCTGCACAGCGCAAGAGTGGAAGGTCAGCTAAAATTTACATTCAGTGTGCTTATAAAGTCGTGCAATCTTTCCTTAACTGCTCATATACTTTACCCAAGTACACTAACAGGATCATGGGCCTTTCATCATCACTGATGGGAAATGAATGCAGATACATAACACAGGTGCCGAGAGAGGCGAGAGAACGATTCGACTCGGCGATAAATCCTGAAATAACAATCCAAAACCAAAAGCAATCCTTAGAATGATGTGGATAAATGGATTTTTAAGCAAATCTATTTCTTTGACAGACTCTTGAATATGTTTCTACAGAATATGGAAAAAACAGCTCTTACAGTATAGCTCTGTAGAATAAAAGACTTCTAATTGTTGATAGAAGACTTACGTTTGTCTCGTTTCCACAGATTAAGTCATTTTTTATCACATCTGTCGCTGAGTAAATGTTTAGTACCACAAATGTGCACATATTAACATCCCTAGACATGTTCTTTAACTCTTCATAAGCGTGGATGCAGATTTAAAGTGAAAAGAAAATAGTTTTAGGGCGCTATACAACTTTTACTCTTGTTCTGAATCTGCAGTTTTCACAGAAATATGTGTACAAAAAATACCAACCACGTCCTTTACAGAAGGCAAATTGCAACAAGATGCCAGTCCACATTGTAACCTGGCTTCTTTTCAGAAACACCTCGATAATATCCTCCAAGCTTGACAAGAGTCACGTCTTCACACCAAGAGCTATGTGTCTGTGAAACAAGCTGCCAGATGATGCCGTTGAAGCTGATAGCCTAGCTTCTTTTAAGAAATGGTTGAATTCTTGGATCAAACAATTATGTTTGTGACTTTTCTTATGTTCTTAAAAAGGCCAGTAATGATTATGGACATATGCAGATGATAACAAGATCGGTCTGATTTGGTAATGAGCATTGAAATTGTAATGAGACCAGGTCAATCTGCCTTCATCATTTCAAAACTATTTTTAATAAACAAAACAACCTACAAGTCCTTTTCTTCATAAAACACATCACAGATCGAACGGTTTATTGCACCATTCCAAGATAAATATCAATAGTCCCTATTTTAACTGTAACATTTCATAATAACTAATCTGGAAAATAAAATACTATCTTTCAAAGGTTTTACACTGCAGACACGTGTTTATTTTGTTCTTGAACCAACAGGGTGAGGAAGATAAACTTTAAATATAACTTAAAAGGGGCAACTTCAAACCATTATTTGAAGACAATTTATGCTTTATATCTTCTTGTACGATCACTCTATTGCTTTCTGCCTGAGACACGCCAACGAATCTAAAAGGTGGCGCTTGAAAAGCGGCAGTTTTGAGACAGATTATGTATGCATGCTCGGTTTCTGAACCGGGTCTAATCTCTCCTCCCATCGTGCACTCGCAGACTGTCCACAGGTGCAACGCAGACTAAGGGGGATGCCGGCTGTAAAACAGCCCCTCGCTTGAAACGAGAGTCAGTTTGACTCGTTCTGCACTGCAGCGCCGGCATACAAATGCAACACCCGTAGCTCAGCTCACTGAACCGTCCAGAGGGTCACGGAGATCACGATTTGCACAGCTCACTTCATCACAGTGTACAGCCGCTGAAGTCCGCTCAGCAAACACGCCTCCGCACTTAAAACTGAACCAACGCCAGCAAGAAAATGTTTGTTTAATAAGGGGCGGCATATTTGTAAAATAAAAGCAGCGTCCTTCCTGCATCTGGAGGATCTGAATGAAACGTAACTCCGAACAAAAGTAAATATCTGTCACCATGCTGCTTTATTTTTATTATTGCAAGTTAAAAATAAAATGGACAATCGATCTCCCTCCCAAACACACAGTCCAGGGGGTTCCAAGTATCTTTAATGCGGCCATATGACAGATCGGGACTCCAGTGCTGGTAGGTTTCTAACCAACTTTAATCTGCCTGAAAAGCAGTTTCTTATTCGTCTCAGTGCTTTAATAATAATAAACCAACCCACCCACGCCGCGGTCACACTTGTGTTACTACTGAGCCCTGACTCAGGGGCGGGGGGACTTCCTGGAAAACAACTCCACTGCTGATCTACCGCATCGCTGCCGGACTCCGGTAACACACCGGGCTGCGGCCGCGGGACACCGGCTCTGCTCGGTGAAAGGGGAGAGTAGGAGAAAAAAGGCTCACCATCGTACAAATCGAGGCGATTTTTCGGACTGTCATCAGTATTTCCATCCGTCCGCCGCCATATTGGACCGAACCACAAACTAAACTGACAGCCGCAGCGGCCGAAGCTCCGAGGAAGACTGTCCACCGAGCCCACGGGTTCACAAAGAGGGAGTGTCGCTGGGATGCACATCCGCCGCAACACGCAAGAGCTAATAGGCCCTTCCCATACGTGCGGCCATGTTAGAGTGAAAACGAGGCTACCAGCACGCGCAGGCACGGCGACTTTCTGCTGTGCTCTTCGCTTTACCTGTCAGCCACTGTCGTTGGGTTCATTTGTCATCGGAACCTAAAATTGAAGATCACGCAATCACCGCTGTCTGGTTAACCCATACATACTGTCATCGCAATATAAATCTGCTTAACAATGATGCTACATATACAAATAGTAGTTAAGGCATAAAAGCCTTAGACTACAAACTGGAAAAAACAATTCAGAGAAATATGGGAGAGAGATGCGATAAAACCTGACACAAACACGTAAGAATTATTTATCTACTTGCTGTCAGCTCAACGTCTTTCAACCGTCATCTCACATGAAGACGGTTTAGATAAATCATTGGATTAATGTACAGTGATTGGAGTTGTTTTCGAATTTAATGTAATCTTTAAGCGCGATGTGAACACATTTGCCTGTGATTGGTGTATCTTGGTGATTTCTAATCAAGAAATGTTACATTTTCCCTGATTTAAATGTGGGGATATCAAGCAGACCGGGTAATTGCAGTACCGGGTTCAATCTGGTGTTCTCTTTCAACAGGGGGGTATACACTCAAATATCCCAGCGTCGTACTGTAGGTGGATTGCAACTGCAGAAATAGCTGCCCTTAGTCTAAATTTCCGCAAACAGGTCTCTTACCGAACTCACCAGCCGAAATCGAGATCTGGTTTTGACAGTTTGTCAGCAACGTCAGAAAATCTTAAATTACACTAAATTTCCCGACAAGACACTCAGGCTCACTGTGCTGGTGGTAGCGTGCCAAGCGAGCAGGGAGTTAAATAGGAACATCCCCTCTCAGCAGTCTTCACTTTACGCACGCCCCCGGCACCCCAGCTGTGCTCTCCGCGTTTCTCTGGCTGAGTAAGCGAAATTGTGGTACAGAAAGTTGTGTAGCTGCACTACTGCACAATTGCACAACCCCGACCTGTGCGCTTCTGGCGTGGATCAGTCTCGAAGTCAAAAGGGCTAAGGATCTAATCCAAGACGGAGAGAGGGGGCATCTGCTTCGCGCTGAGCTTTTCACGCAGGACCTGGAGCGTGGACGTTGCGTTTCTACGGGAGGAGATGGTGAGGTCCGGAGCGGTGCGAGTGGTGGCCCGCACGTTGGAACTTGTGGGTGAAAAAGTGAAGTAGGAAGGGGGGATCGTTGTCCCATGCTGGGGGGGAGAGACACGGACTGAGATTTACTTTCTCGGATGCAGTACAAGCAGCGGTTCATAAATGCGCCTCCTCGTCCAAGATCAGAGAAAAATGAGCAGTTACTCTAGTAACTTTCTGCTAGTCCCCATTCCGGAATATCCAGTTTTAGACTGCGTGCCCAACAAGACTGTGAAGATCGTTGTTCTCGGCGCCAGTAATGTTGGCAAAACAGGTATGTGTGCTTTGCAAAGTGCCTTTGAACTCAGGAAATACCCCGCAACATCTGGCCCGCTGTACAGCTGATTGCCTTCGTGTGGATAATCGAGGGCCAACTCTCATACACTTTTCTCGCTTTTAACTTCCTACCGAAGGAAAAGGAGTTTAGGCACTTTCTGTCGCTCTGCGATGCTAAGTCTTGCCGCTTTTCGTATAAACATTGAGAAGACAGCACAGTAACGACATGTCTCTCCACAGAAGACCCATGCCTCAGGGGAAGAAAAACTGCGACACTTTTTTGTAAAGTCTCCGTCAATAATTATTTACGATCACGCTCTTTTCTTCTATTATAGTAGCCAATTTAACCGATTTTATAGACTGTAGCTGGCTACAAGAATGTTGTGTTTTGGTAAGGGCGAATATGTAACAGCTAGTTAAGATACCTTTTGAATTAAATTATTTTTATTCCGATTGGGAGTGTTAGAAAATCCGTGTTGCTTCTGCAGTCACGGATATTAAGTGAAACTAACCACATTAATTAAAAATGCGGTGATAAACAAAATACTTAACATTTTTAGAAAATTGTGTGTATAATCTTGATCTTTAATGGTCAACCAATTGTCTCTATGGAGCTTGTAAAATGATGAAAATACTAGCGAATAAACAATCCAGATGTGTTGAATGGCCTCCCGCCGAAACCGTTCTTATTTGTGAAAGAAAAATCTTGCAGGCTGGAAAGGGTGGTTGCAGCATTGTTCTTGTATTATAAAGTTTCTACAGAATGTGGCGCTGACGTATTTCTTAAATAGATGCATATGTTCGTAATTATCCTATGAGTCTTTCTAGAGAGAAAGTGCTTATTATCTGGGGAAATTGTTGTATAGTTTAACCGTAGTCGTGTTCTATAAGGAAATAGGTCCCAATCTGCAGTTGGATGGCTGAAGAGTGTGTGCGTGGTGAATGTATATCTACAGTACATGCTGGTATTTGCGGTATGTTTCAATGCAATAACACAACACCCAATTCTCCGAGAACTATAATGTCCCTTGATAAATGCCATAAATATTATTTAAGCAACTATTGAATTATTCCGGGGTTCTAGCTGCATTTTAAAGGTGCTTTACTTTACGTACAGTATAGCGTTCATAACGACAGCGCATTCCTGTACTAAGAGACCTTGCTAAAGCCTTTCGTGTTTAAAAAGCGATTTTCCTCCTCCACAAACTAATCAGCCTTCTGCTCCGCGAGGGGGCGCCACCGCAGCAATTTCAGAAATACAGCTGAGGCGCTGTCTAGTAACACACCCTGTTAGAGCTAGAGCATCATACTCCCAGAGCATAGCGTCATGCCGCGGTGTAATTATCCTTCAAATTGTTTAACAGCGTTCAGAGATGTACTGTATATTATACAGAGATGTATAGTAGTCATTATTAGTATGATTGACTGTACATTGCACAATGTTATACGAATAAATCATAGAGCTGTAAACTTATGACATATTAAACTGTAACTAATGCCCTCTGCAGTACAGGTTCGTATATTATACCCAAAGATGTGATGTCTCTTTTTCATTTTGTGTACTACTTTAGTGGGTGGAGTTCTGTAATCATCATAATTACATAATTATTACTTGCAGTTATTATAGTGCTTTTAATTCCAAAGGGATTCACATACAGGAGGGAACCTACTCTATTCACCACCCCCCAGGGTGACACACAGCAGAAAATTCCTCTGTCTCTCCCATTTTGTTCTGGTCATTACCGTGGAGTGAATTTAGAGCGCAAATTATCCTGAGTTATTTTCCAAGTACAAAATTGGAATAACAAACTGTCTTACATGTGAGGAGACACATCTGGCCCTGAACGGGCTTGTTTCTCCCTTTGAATTTGATCTTGATGTTTGTCTTTTGCAGCCTTAATAGTGAGATTTCTCACCAAGAGATTCATTGGAGACTATGAAGCCAATACAGGTCAGTCCTTTTTCTTAGTTCACCACTATATTTGGTTATAAAGGAACAAGTAATAGGTTCATTCAATGCTGTAACCTCACAACACCCTCACACCTGAAGAAGGCTCCACGGCCGAAATGTTGTGTTTTCTCTCTTCTCTTTTCAGCATTGAATAAACCTATTACTTGTGCCTTTGCAGCCTACACATGCTGACGCAGCTACCCACCGGAACTATATTAGGTTATAGCACTTACGCCATCTATTAATTCATTCATTGATTTATGAGATAAGAGATCTCATCTTTAAAGCACTAAAATCATGCACAGAATGCGGATTTTGATGTTTAAACTTACAAAAATCTCAAAATTAATCAGGAAACATGTAAAGCCAAAATTGTATTCTTGTTATTAGATCAACACTGATCAGAAAGCTGAAGTCGGTTGAGAAACACAAGGCAATGTATAACATAGGCAGCAGGTGAAGGGAACCCAACAAGATCAGACTTGCCTTTTGAACAAGGTGCAAACTGGGACATCTCTTACAGTTCTGTGCCAGCTCTGGAAATTTTAAATGTTTTCTGATGTTTTGGGGGGGAAAAAATGACTTCCGCTTGTAATTTTTGGTGGTGTTTTTTTCCCCATCTAGGAGCCCTTTATTCCCGAAAAATTAACCTAGAGGGGGAGCAGGTCTCTCTTCAAGTCCAGGACACACCCTGTGTTGCACTCCAGGTAGAGCTGGCTTTCCGAGGGGGGTGGGATTGTGTTGCGAAGCAGCGTTTCATCATTTGACCTTTCTTGTTTGTCTCATTTGACTGGAAGTGCAGGAGGAGATCAGGGCTCTTGTGTTTCATTCTCCTGCCAGTACCTGTTCCAGCTGTTTTCTGTCTCCAGCAGCAGAGGAAACCCAGTAATTAACCCAGTTGTTTGGGTCAAGGATCTGAGAAGTCGCAGATGGAAAGAGACATCTCTGTTCGTCTTGCTTTTTTCTTGTTAGCTTCCTGTCAGCAATGCTGTTATCTCACTTTCAGAATCAAGAGGTGTGAAAAAGTCACAACATTGTTTGAGTTCAATATTAATTGCACAGTTCATATACATTTTGTTGTTCAGTTTTTAAATTTTCTTTCTTACTTGATAAGAAATGAAATGGCGGTAATGAAATAATGAATGGTTTGAAGCAGATGTTGAATAATATGTGGAGTGAGAGTTCAAGTGTTGACTTTTTTGTTGCTGTGATTTCTGGAATCTACAGGCTGCTTTTTAGCAGGGTATGGGCATTTTATAAAGCAGATCAGTGGTAATTATTAATTATTAGCTATTGGAAGCTTGGAAATGTCACAGAGTTAACCCGGTGGGGATTAGATACTCATCAAAAGTTTCCACATGCATTAAACCATGCATCCATTATCAATAAACCAATGGTTTATTAATAACCAATTATCAATGGTCCCAGTAAGCTGTACTGACTTTGCTTTCTAGCTGGATGGCACATTGTGGATATTGCATATCCACAAAAAAAAGGACCATTTAGAGTAGCCAGTTGAACCAAGCCAGTGTGTCTCTGGGAGATGACTGGAAATCAGAGTACCTAGTAAAAACTCATCTGAACTTCAGAACATGCAAACTCCACAGAGTGGGATTGTCAGGATCAGAATCAAACCCAAGATGCTGGAGCTGTGGGACAGCAGTGCAAGCTGTGAGAAACTCAACAGTGTCTCCCAGGATTCACACAAAATAATAAAGACTGGGGACCCTTTAAGGCCGTCGATACAAATAAACAAAAACATCAGAGACAAACCAAAAGGAAATATATAAAAATGACAAACAGAAGTTTTGAGACATGAGACTGGCTTAAGGTGTTACCTCCAATTACTCCCCAGGCGAGTTTCAGGAAAGGATGGATCTCAGCACTTATTTAGTCAGTCTGCCCCAAATGGCCAATTAGTGATTGCTCACACCATTCAATAAAATACCTCTACTCCAATTAAGTAATTAAGTAAAGGGCAGGTGGTTGCCTTTCCACCATGAGGTGAGCTGTTTAACGTGGTAAGAGTCTTTAAAGCACACTTCCTGACAGAATGAAAGCAATAATGAATATAATTGAATAATAAATGAATGAAAGCATGATAAAATAAAAGCAAACAGGAAACAACAACCAGAGACATAACAATTGGATAGTATTGGGTTAAATTAAAAAATAATAATAATTGTAGCTCAATTATTACAAAATGAAACAAATGGTATGTGGATGGTATAATGTACCCCCAGAACACTCTCAGACAATGAAGGAGTGCAAAGTCACAGTGGGGTGAATAGGCACTCACACCGAACACTCAAACGCATAGAAGTTGTGTATAAACAGGGGTTGTGTTTATGCACGAGTTGGGCGCAGAGCATTGAGGATGAGTGTGAGACAGCTTTAGTCTCTTGGTTTATGCAGTCATAATTTAAGCACTATGCTAGGGATCATAGTCACAAGCATTTGCACATTATGTGTTACACATGAGGTATAGTTATTAAAAAGGAAAGAAAAGAAGTGGTGGTCTTATTGGAGGCAGCCCCCCTGACGTACAGGACTTTATGTCCCTGTAGATCTTATTCTTTTAACTCTTCTTCAGCGGTCTGTTGCAGTCTCTTGTTTTGTGTCCTGTTTGGTTACTTTTAGTTGGGTGGGCATCCAAGGGCCAGAGAGGTTTTGTTTTGTTTTTTTTAAGTTTACTTGTAAATTCTGCAGGACATCTCTCATTCTTCAGTTTCACTGAAAATGCAGCAGAACATTCTTCAAATGCCAAGCTCATTAATGCTTCAAGTAACATTAAAAATAAAGAGGTGGTACACTTAACCTAATCTATACAAAAACCACTCAATTGACAGAATCGCTGCATTGTCCTTCCTGTTAAATTAGCATTTTAGCTGTGTGTTATCTGAAGTCATAAACTGAATGGAGAATTCCCATAAAGCTGTTTATCTTTTGCTTTTCTGGAAAAATCATAATGTGGATGGCTTTAACTTCTTCTCTTTTTTACTGTCTGTGAGATAACAGTGGATATTGTGCCTGGCTAGCTCCTGCTTGCTTTCTTTTACAGTGGAAACCTGTTATCAAATTTAGAAAGCGAGTGATTTACGGCTGGCAACAGAAACATAGTGACTGTCGAAAGTCTGATCTGGGCACAGATCTTAAAGTAAAGGGTGGAGTGACTGTCTGATATCTAAAAGCTGTTCAAGTGCTAAGGTTCAGGGGTTCAAAGAAAAATCACATTATTAAGAGTGTCTAGGGGCTTCACAGGTACTAGTGATCTGCGGTACCCACTGACTGGATTCTTTGTAAGGAAAAAACCTTGTGCAAGAGGAGATCAGAGGGGGGTCGTTAATTCTGAATGCTCCTACCTAGCCATGAAGAACTCCTGAGGAGCGTGTTACAGTCTAAAAATGATGTGTGTGCATTTCTGCTGCCTGGGGATTGACCACACACAAACAAAATGTTACTGTCTGCAATGTTTAACTCTTGGAACTAACATCAACCCATAGGGAGAAAGTGCTGCCTAGTAACACAAAGTGTTAGTGGATTGTCCTCTTAGTTGGGAGGCCTTCATTTTAAAAGGTGATGTTCACTTCACCTTGTGTGTTGAATGACTCTGCCTGTGAAGCCCTGTGACACCTATATTGGGCAACTCTCTGTCTCAATAGGTGGGTTTGCCTTCACTGTAGAGAGGTTCAGTGCTATTGAAAAAAATGTCTCTCTCTGACAAACAAAAGAAAAGGACGTTGCTGTTTGAAAGGCCATCGTGGTTTTTTTGTTCACAGGACGATGCGGATGGCCTGTACTGCCAAGAGCAGATCAACCGCTCCATCTACTGGGCTGATGGCTACGTGCTGGTCTTCTCCATCACTGACCACAGCAGCTACCGCACCGTCCAGCCCCTGTACCAGCACGTGCGCAAGATCCACCCCACGGGCAACATCCCCGTCATTCTGGTGGGCAACAAGTGCGACCTGCTCCGGGCTCGCCAAGTGGCCGCCAGCGACGGAGAGGCGCTGGCCCAGGAGCTGGGAGGGGTGTACTTTGAGGCCTCCGCCCGGGAGAACCACGAAGGCGTCCACGCCGCCTTCCTGCACCTCTGCCAGGAGGTCAGCCGGGCCCTGGGCAGCTGCAACGGCGAGAAACGGAGAGGCCTGCACCTGGTCAGGCCGAAGTCGCCCAACATGCAGGACCTGAAGCGTCGCTTCAAGCAGGTGCTGTCCTCCAAGGTGAAATCGTCTACCACCCTGTGACCTCCTGTCACTCACGCATGGAAGAGGAGGTGTCGTACCCTTCTAGGCCGAGCGATTCAAGACCAGCAACTTGCCGAACTACAAGTGTATTCCTTGGCCAAGATGGCATTGAATGGAAGTGACTGGAGAGACTCTGGCAGCCATGGAAACCTATGATGTCATCTGCCAGCCCATCAGTCTCTATTGCTTCAATACAGCTCTTGCTAATCTCTGACCTGACTTCACTATGGTCTCGCTTGTGAAGGCTGTATAGATCTGTATCTTAATGAAGGAGCTGCACTGAAACACTTCCTCGAAGATCCCTGAAAGGCAAGAGACCATTCAGAGGCTGGTTTCCCATAGGCCCCTGCCAATAAAAAAGCTATTCCTTCTCGTCAAAGTTCTCCTGTGTATGACTGTAAGCAAGGAATCCAATATTTAGGGAATCCAAATGCCTGGTTTGAAGGAGCTGGTACTTTTCCAGCTTGACTTCTGGATTTTGTCCATTAAAAATCACCAGCCAAAGCATAATCTCCATTTAAGGATGGAATAATCCCAGGATATGTTGACAATCATCAAATGTGCTCATTTAACCAAAGTTCACATATCACATTTTGATCAGACATTGTTGATTGCTATGGATTTCTGGGAAACAGTGGAATTTATAGTAGATATTTTTAATGCTATTTTTATGTGGAAACTTGTTTTAAGAGCAGTTGTTTTTTAAAAAAATAAAGTGCTGGAAATGTTGGTTTGCACAGTAACATACTTGGATCTGTATCCCAGGTCCTGATGAAATAATTCTGTAGGTATTATAAACACCAGGAAATCACCAGTGGATGAAAAATCGGGGAATGTTGACAATTACAACCCTCCCCTTTGATTCATTCAGTTATGTGATTCAAAGAGGAGCTAAAACTAAAGAAACTGGCATCTCATGAAGACCAGAGTTAAATTAGTGGTTTGTAAAATTCCAACAATGATCTATCACACATTTAAACATTCCTTTTATTTTTTTGGCTGTTGACTGATGTTCAGTGTTGTCAGCACTCTGTTCAATGTATACTTAAGGGGTTCTTAAAGCTCAGAAATATGCAGTGTGCCAAGAAGATAAAGTTAATGTTCTTCTAATTGGGATCTTGTTTTTTATTTGCTGAATATAAAAACAATCTGTAGCCTTCATTGCTCAGGAATGTTCTCCTCTTTGTATCAGGGAATTTTTAATTTCAGATTTTGGAGGCAGCAGTTTCTTCTGACCCACCAGGATTTCCATTTTGCTTTACAAGGGCACCAAAATGAGTTTCACAGGTAAAATTTCTACCAAATCCTTATCGTTTATTGTTCTATTCAGAACTGCACACCACAGAGCAATGAAATACAGTTCCAAAATGCCAACAACACCGCACACCCATATGTACTGTGTTTCTGCTTTAGTACCCAAGCAGGGCAAACATCACCTGTAGAGACTACAGCTGATACAGACATTACCTGGTACAGACATCACCTGAACGGCTAACGGTGGTACAAACATCACCTGCAGAGGTTACAGCTGGTACTGCTATCACCTGTACAGCTATCACCTGGTACAGACATCACCTGTAGAGGCTACAGTTGGTACAGACATCACCTGTAGAGGCTACAGTTGGTACAGACATCACCTGTAGAGGCTACAGCTGGTACAGCAATCACCTGTACAGCTATCACCTGGCACAGACATCACCTGTAGAGGCTACAGCTGGTACAGCTATCACCTGTACAGCTATCACCTGGTGCAGACATAACCTAGTCCAGGCCACAGGTGACAGTGTGGTCATCTTGTGTGAGCTACAGAGCACAGTTCCAATGATTAAGCTGATTGAATAAGCCCACCCTGTATGTGACCATTCCCCCCTTCCCCCTTCACAATGAATACACTACCCCAGTTTCATGATATCTGCTGATCTCAACAGAATATTGTTCCTTAATAAAGTTCGCTATTCACATTGGGTCTCCTCTCTGTCTGAATTGCGGTTTGACCAAGCTACCGGAATAACCATCCATCCGGCCATTTTCTCACTGCTTCTTTCAATCCAGGGTCGCGGGAATCCACAGCCTAACTCAGCAAGCAATGGGAAGCAAGGCGGGGTATACCCTGGATGGCAGTTCACTGCAGGACAGACAGACACAAGCAGCCAATTATCCCAGAAGCCAATTAACCTACCCGTATGTCATTGGACTGTGGGAGGAAAGACACACAAAGACGGGGTGAACACACAATGCATACAATGCAGAATTGAACCCAGAGCTCCAGCGCTGCGACCCAGCAATACTGACCACTGCACCAATAAAATTCAATTTCCAAGCCATTTGTAAACGAAAAGTTAAGATTTTTCCTGTCCACACCTATGTTGTCTCTTGCGAGGCTTGCTCCTTTCAGGCTTTTCAATTAGTTTAAGACAATCCAGAGCCAGAGAAGGATCCTTTGAAAAAAAGGTCCAATTGGTCTGAACCTCTGCTCCCCTGCCCCCCTCCAGAGACTCCAGTTTAGAATTTCACCTCCTTGTTGCATTCCATGGACTAACAGAGTTCAAAGGTCAGTGGTGGTCAGTGGTTCTCCCAGCTCCGTTGGCTGCAGGAGGTGACTGGAAGGAGACAGGACTCTGTTCTCATCAGTCCCAGATGGGTTAAGATGCTGTGACTATGTGAGTCTGGTCCTCACCCCCCACCCCCTTTCCAGGATGAGTCCACTTTTGTGGATCAGGAACAAGTGGTTTATATAAGAGTGAAGTGAATAGAGGATCGACACAGGCCTAAAACATGTGTCACATTTAGCATAACATAGACATACTTCAAGTAGGTAGCTGCATCAGCGTGCGTAGGTTGCCAAGGAACAAGTAAAAAGATGTATTCAAACCTGAAAAGATAAGAAAAGAAACACAAGCCCGAAGAAGGCTCCACAGCCAAAACGTGGTATTCTCTTTTCAGCATGGGCTCTCCACACCAACACCATTCAAATGCAATCAAACACGAAGCTATTCCCAAATCAAACTTTTCAGCACAGTGTACAATAATGATACACTTTTCCTTAAGCATTACCTACAGAGCTACTGTAGCAAAAGTATAGAGCCCAGAGGAAGACAATCTTGAGTTCTTAGAACTGGTGCGCAGTGCTGTACTCAAATAATAACTGCATTGCTGGTAATACATATGAATCTTTTTAAGAGATGTGCAGTATGTCTTTAAAAATATTGCTTACCATAGATTTTTATACAGTAAGCTATTATTTAGAGACGTCTGACTTCTTTTACAGGATGAAATTAGAGGATTACCTCAATGGACATAAGATCCTAGGGGATAGTCTAATTGCAGTTAGAAAAGCTAGGTCTCATCCAACTAACTTGCTCGAGATACTTGAACAGCAGTAATGACCACACACAGACCATAAGATATCGTATATTTAGATTTTTTTTCAAACTGTGGGGGGTAGGCATTCAGGGAAATACTTGTGTTTGGATTGAGAACTTGCTAATGGATAAACAAGTCCTCCTCTCAACAAGACAGTCCTCCTTAAAGATTTCAAATAGACATCTGCTTTCCTTTCCTGCCAGAAGGGGATTTGAAATAACGTGGAACTACTCTCCTCGTACTCATTTTTTTTTAACAGCCCATGACTTTCGTCAAATGCACTGGGACCAAGTTGCCTCAATGGAGGGAAATGATTCATCTTCTTCACAAAAAGAAAACATACGCTCCACAGACTTGGCTTGTTATATCCAGAGGAACGCTCCAAGTAAAAGTCACAACGATCTTCATCGTAGCCTATAAACTTTTTAAAAAGTGAGACCAAATATAAAGGTCTTGTGAGTGGACTGTTAAATGTAGAGAAATAATCTAATGGTCATTGCAGGAATAGAATAATTTTGTTAGTGTACCATGACTATGAAGGATAAACAAGGCCTTCAGCTCACAGCCCAGCCTGAATTCTCTTATCCTCTCAAAAATAGAATACAAGGTGTGATAGATTAGAAATAGCATGAATGACTGGTGTTTGGTGTGAAATGATACAGTGTTTGAAAGACTTTGTGTAAAGAAAAGGGCATTTAAGAAAAACTGTAGTTTTGTTCCCTGAAAAGTTTCCATAATGTGAGGAATGTTTCCTTATTTCTCTATTGTACATCAACTGGCACCTTCGTCTGGTGAAATCAAAACCTTTTTGAATCAAAATTCTTTTAAAAAGGGTCCAAAGATTTGCTTTTAAATCCACAAGGTGGAAAAATACAAGCAGCATAAACTGAGAAAATTAATCAAGTTGGACATGGAAAAACAATTTGTGGCTCCAGATTTACCATATGGAGGAGTAGAATCTAAAGTTCAAATTCAGATGCATTTTGAAAGTCCAGTGAACAAGGAACAGCTGCTCCTGTTGAAAGTCATTACGAGACATTAGTTTTCCTTGTGGTTTATCTGTTATCAGATTTGCAGGAAATGTGGCTGGACTCTAACTAGGACTCCATTCAAAACTAAATCCCAAGGGGATCATAGGGGATTCCATTAAAAAAGCAAGGCTGGGATCTACCTTTCAAAGAGGACATTTTTAAGACTAATGCCTTTAGCTTGTATCATCCAAATCATGTGAAAAAGACTTTAAAGTATGTGTGTTTAGTGCTGTTTCCCCTACCTATGCAGCAATCAGCAGACTCTACATTTGTACGGGGTGAAAGCATACCATTGTAAGGTATAGACTGGCCCTGAAAGTAAATTAAAACAACTTTAAGTCAAATCTCTACATTAGCTGACACAGTGCCCTTGATAGCTTTGACCTTTCCTGAACTGAAATGAATTAATTGTAGATTTTCTCCAGATAAATTTGATTTTGTAATTTGACATTTTATACAGGTAGTGGCAGAGTACCTCACATTTACTTTTAAATGTGTTCATCAAATATTGCATTATTTTCACTTAGCAACTGGATACTCTGTGGTTGTGCATTGCAGTGGGAGCTTATACATGTATTGTGGCTTTGATTTACTATTCCTTAGCTCTGTAGGGGAAACACATAGCTGTTGAATGAAACTGCCTACAAGTCTAGAGATCTAGAGGTCTAGAAATCAGTCACTGTAAAAGGAGCTAGCAGACAGAAAAACATTTGTTCTGCTTGTGTTGTTTCACAGCACTAAAACGCTGGCTGAAGGAAGGCTATGACAGTGTGTTGTCTTTGGGGTTTCTGATGTAAGTGACCCATTTTGGTTACCCAAAAATTAATGAGCCATCTCCCCTATTAACTTGTTGTCATTGAGTTACAGATTGATGTCTGATGCCTGAGTAACAGATGGACGAAAGATCAATCTGCAGACAAAACAGTTTCTTAATAGCAGCCGTATTGCAGTAGACTCATAGTACATAATGGACAATCCAGGGATTTTTTTTCAATTCCTAAGCTTTTTTTATTATTTAATTACACGCCACCCTTAGATTTTCAGCACTAGAGAACTCTGAATCCACTAGTGTTTCAGACATGTGAAAGATGTTCTCCAGCAGCAAAGGATTGATAAGACTAACATGTTGCATTTTCAACATTTTGAGAAATATTTATGGTCCACCTGCAAATGACACAAAGCAGAACTATGGAACAGACCTGTGTAGACTGCAGCGAGTTGACTTTCTGTGTACACTCGACACAGACGAGCAGGACCTGCCACAACTCTGGACTCTGAGGTTTCCTCCTGTGTAAGGTTCAGGATATTTCAATCCTGCCTCGTATTGCATGTTGTTTTGCCTTGCATATTTGCTCACAGCCTGGCCATTACTTTTGATATTCCTTGGCATAATTCTTCCCTTGCAGCCAAACATTTTGGCATCTACCCTGCTCTCAGTCCTCTCACCCTCACTGCTCTCAGTCCTCTCACCCTCACTGCTCTC